ATATTCATGTTCAAACTTTTTGGGTAAATGGCCAATATCGGGAGAACTGTTGATAAATTGAAAAAGTTATTGCACCCATGATATGTACCAACAAGTTTTATTTACAGATTATGAGTTTCAGCTCGCTGAGACTTTCGGTCATTGAATGCAGTCGCTTTAAAGAAAAATCGCACTTATCGATTTTATTTTGAACCGAAAGTTTTATTTCCTAAAAAATGTACATTTTATGGTTGACCATCTAAGTTTACATCACCAAAATGAATATCATGAAAAAAACTGCTTCCATTATTGTACAAAATGAGATCGAAGTTTCTAACTTTGAACTCTTTTCTCTCGAAAACTGTCCATCTTAGAAACTTTTAAATCGCGACAATGGACTCAGTTCTTATGTCCTAGAAACCAGTAGAGTCTAAATTTGAAAGAAATCTCCACCAGATCTCAACTCCTAACTCGAAAGTCAAAGCACTGCTAATTTATACAGTGTTCAAGCTACTGTAAGATTTGCAGTTGCATAAAATGATATTCAAAATTGAAACTAGGATTATATAAGTATTACGAGTTATCGAGCATAACAAATCCGTTATTTCCAACCTAAAAGTGGATCTGTCAATCTCTTTGAGAATCATCACTTTACTGAAGTCATTTTTACCTTTTTCTAGTTTCTTGTGGCTTAATTTACTCAGAATAATGAGTTTTGGATACAAAGGCAATGCTTTGTATTTCATATTGTATTTCATTGTTATTCTGAATAATTGATGCAGTGGTGATAAAGCAATTAGCGTTCATCAACACAACTCTTGCTCAGAAAGAAAGTGTTTAAAACGAGCAAATAGTTTGAAATACTGTTTTAATATAGCCACTGATTATTCAGTTTGATTAAGATTGAATGGTGTTCCAGCAAACGCGAACCTGTCTTAAGCCAAACTGGTAGGGTTAATTGTTATATCAACCTTTTGTGTTCATTGTTTCTTTCAGTGATTATACAAGGAATGTCTCATGAATTTCATAACTCATTTTCATGTTAATGTTTCCATTTTACTCGAAACTCTCGTTCTCATCTTAGCTGTTTGCTCATTTGGATTTATCACTGTTCATGGAATCACCAAAAGAAAAGAAAGAGATTTGATTAAGATCTATTAGCTTTTTGCAAAGCTTGATTTTTGGCTGCTTGGATGGTAATCAAATTTTGCCTCTTAGTCTTTGAGGCTTTGGAAACAAATTAAAGTATAAATTGTTGAGTGTATTTGGATAGACCAAGAAGGAAAGACTCAGTTATACCAGGAAGACAAACAGGAATAAAAGACCAACGAAAGATGATGATGATGAAGACAAAGTGGATAAAGTAATTGTACGATGATTTAACAAGGAATGTACTATCATCCAGACACATCGCTTTGGATAAAGATACACTTTGCTTATTAAGCATCTTTGGTCTGTGTGTTGGCAATATCAATGAACCAAGTTGATCAAGATGACGCTTTTGTTGTTCATCGTGGAAACGGCCAGACAAGTTCGATAGTAATTTCGATATTAATCGATCTGCTGTAAAAATAGTGAAAGGTAGTGAAATGGAAATAAACAAACCCAATGTAAACGTTTCTCAGGTTAAAATGTTACAAAATATTCTCAAGATAATACGATTGTTACTAAAAAGACATAATTAACACAATCATTACATTTAAGCACGAATTTATACAAATACAAGCTTGTACTGCAAGAAAAACGAGTAAAAATTGGTTTCTGTCAAATAATGACTCGGTCGATTTGTGGAGAGATGAAAACTAAGTCCACTCATGCAATTCGAAAATTTCTCTGGTCAATAGTTTTCGAGAAAATAGGGTTCAAAGTTAAAACTTCGATCGCTTTTTGTGTAAGAATGGAAGAAGATTATTTCTTGCTACTTATTTTGGTGATGTAATTTTTGATAGGCAACCATGAAATGCACGAATTTTGAGAAGTAAAACTTTCATTTCGAAATAAAACAGATCAGTTCGATTTTTAGTTGAAGCGACCGCATTCTGTAACTGTGTAAGTTAGAGAGCTGAAAATTATTATCTGTCACTGAAAGTTGTCGATACACAAAATGGTTTTAGTACTTTTCTCAATTTATTAACAGTTCTCTTAATATTGGTCATTTACCTAGAAAGTTTGAAACTAAATATTTCGAGAATGGCATCACCTACGTCCGCAATTCTTTGACCAGACATTAGATTGCATAATGGGCTATAATAAAATATGAATGAATATCGAATAAAATCCAATCTGCATCAATTAATATCGAAAATCCTTCTTACACATAAGGTTTGTGTTCAAAAAACCATTTTATTTATAAACCAAGCTAAAATCTGGTAACATATTAATGTTAATAAATGTTAATGTTAACAACACTACAACTTTTTTGTAGGATCTTTTAATGATAGGAATCTTTTCGGAACAATTTAATCTATTGAATCTATGAATATATTACAGCCCATAATGTAGTCTATTGTTTGACGAAAGAATACTAGACATTGGTGTTGTCATTCTCGAAATATTCATGTTCAAAGTTTTCAGTCAAATGGTCAATATCGAGAGAGATGTTGATAAACTGAAAGAAGTGTTCGAGTCATGATGTTTACCAACAGCTTTTATCGACAGAAAAGATGTTTCGAATCGCTAACTTTTACGATCATAGAAATAATTCGGTTTAACTGGAAATCGAACTTATCCGTTTTATTTCGAAACTAAAGTTTTACTTCTTGAAATATGTGCATTTTCTGGTTGTTCATCAAAAATTACATTACAAAAATACAGTTTCATGAAACAATCTGCTGCCATTATTGCACAAAAGGCAATCGAAGTTATAACTTTGAGTTCGATTTTCTCGAAAACTGTCAATAAGAGAAACCTTTGAATCATACAAATGGATGCAGTTAGCCTGTCCCAGCAATCAGTCATAGGTTAAATTTGCGAGAAATCCATTTCTATCCGTTTTGCGCTCAATTTGTCTTTCAGTATTTGTGTAAACCCAATAAACTTCATAAAGTAAGCTCAAATCTCAAATCTGTCTCATTTATGCCCAAGTTTACACAAATACTGAAATACAAATGGGAATAAAAAGCCCAAAATTGATTTCTTTCAAATTTAGACTCTGGTGCATTGCAGCAACATAAAAACGGAACCTATTTGTACGATTTAAAAGATTCTCGGATCAATGGCTTTCGAGAAAATCAAGTTCAAAGTTTAAACTTCGATTGTCTTTTGTACAATAATGGAAGCAATCTTTTTCATGGTACTTATTTTGGTGATATATATTTTGATGTTTAATCATAAAATGCCGTTATTTTAGGAAATAAAACTCTCGGTTCGTAATAAAACAGATCAGTGCGATTTCTCTTTAAAGCGACCGCATTCTGTAACCATGTTTTAAGAAGAGCTGAAACTTAGCTTCTGTCGCTAAAAGTTGTCGATACACATTATGGATTGATTATTTTTTTCAATTAATCAGCAGTTCTCTTAAAATTGGCCGTTTATCTAATAACTTTGAACATGAATATTTCGCGAATGGCATTACCTACGTCCATCATTCTTCGACCAAAGATAGATTGCTTTATGTATTATAATATATTCAAATATTAAATTATTCCTAAAAGATTGCCATTGTTTAATGATCACACAAAATAAATTTTAGCATTTTTTACTTCTTTTAGATTTGAGCTTGATTTATCAAGTTAAATGTTTTCTTAAACATGGATCTTATACATTAGAAGGATTTTCATCATAAAATGAATCAGATTGGCTTTTATTCGATATTCAGTCATATTATTTTATAGCTTATATTACAATCTAGTGTTCGGTCAAAGAATAATGGACGTAGGTAACCCCATTCTCGAAATATTTAGTCTCAAACTTTTTAGGTGAATGGTCAATATTAAGAGAACTATTGATAAATTGAAAAATTTATTCAACGCATTTTGTGTACCAATAACTTTTATCGACCAATAACATGTTTCTGCTCGCTAGTTCTTGCAATTACAGAATGCGGTCGCTTTATCTACAAATCGTTCTGATCTGTTTTACAGAAAACAGAAAAATTTATTTCTCCAAATAAGTACGTTTTGTGGTTGGTCACCTAACAATACATCAGTGCAATGAATATCATGAAAATATTTGCTTCCATTATTGTACAAAAGACTATCGAAGTTTCAACTTTGAACTCCATTTTCTCGAAAACTATCGATCAGAGACATCTTCAAATCGCATAAATGTTTTCAGTTCTTATGTCACTACAAACTAACAGAGTCTAAATTGTAAAGAAATCCATTTTTACCCGTTTATTCCCATTTGTGCATAATGCGTCTTTTTAGTAACAACCATTTCTACTTATTTATTGACAAGTTTATGCATGAAACTCTCGCCATGTTATTTCAATTTCGGACAATTCTAGACTAGATTTCGTAGCTTTTTGATATCATAGCGATTTGACTAACACTGATACTAATGATACTGATAGAAGCACTGGGAATGACCAGAAAATAAGTAGAGTAAAAAGGCTAAAGTAAAAGGTAAAATGGAGTAAAATGAAGTCAGTAATGATAGCAAGTGTAAAGCAAAGATACAAGACAACTGTTTGGCTCTAACAGAGTTGACGATGAGGATGATGTGGAGAAGATGATGAAGATAGTGATGATGAAAAGTATTCCAATGTTAAGAGCATAGAGTAAAATATTTGTCACCGCGAAATTGTACCAAATTTAACGAAGCTCACTCTCAAAATAGTTATTCGTCTTTCTCCTCTTCTCTCTTCTCTTTTTAGCATATCTTCCTCTCTCTCTCTCTCTCTCTCTCTCTCTCAACAAAAGATACGTGTTACGTGAAGAGAGTGCGTTTAACATTATCATTTCATAGGCATCTTGGTGGTTTGTTTTTTAATGTTTGGGTTGTTACGCAGCATCTAAACAACAGCTTTATTAACCAACCTTCTTGCAATCTTGTTAACCAAAGTTTCAGCCTTTCACTTCCATAAACAGCATCTCATGTAGACGCAAGTTACCCACCTCATCTTCATCATCATCAGCCTCTTTGGATCTTTATCATCATCTTCCTTCATCATCATCGGTAAACTTGGAATCCTCTGTCTGTTCATCTGTGTAAGTTGAATAGAGTGAAAACATCCAAATCTTTTCATGTTATTTTCAATGTTTACCAGAAAATAGTTAAAGCACCAGATTTTATTTTTTATTTATTTTTAGTTAATCAACAACAATCTAATGATGCTCATTGAAAGTCTACCTTGCTAGTATCAATCATCTTCAACATCATCATCTCCATCAAATAATTGTTTTATAATTTTAACCTTTTTTTTTGTTTTTTGCGCGATTTTCATCTTCGACTCAACATCTACTCTAAACAACTCACTGATATTCAAGGATAATTAAACGCCTTTATCTCATCAACAAGTTCTAGTCAATTTGATAACTTTAGCCTGTTATATAATATTTAATGTTTAGTGTCAAATCGGTTAATAATCTGTGATTTACTTCATCCGTCATTTGGTAGTGACCATCATTTCATTCAAGCTACAAACCCAAACATGTCACAATAGGATTATCCAACCAGGATTATTACCTTAAACCATGTCCTATTCACGGTCATCTTATCGAGCCACTTCTACATCTTATCGGTTATCGAGTGAAGGTAAAGTCCATTTTACAATATTAATAGAGTTATTAGGGAAGCTAGATCAATACGCTTCTCTTGTAGGAATTGCTCTCAGTTTTTTTGTCATTTTTGGATGAAAATAAATTTGAAAAGAGGTTGATTTATTGATTGAAAGTGAAGCTTTGAATTTAATTCATTGCGGAAAATATTGGTTTTGATTCAATCGAGTTGATGTCGAGTGAAACCCAATAAAATTGGTGATATTTAGGTACATATTTAATGTTGATAAGCCTAATTGATAACAAGTGTTCGGTTTTATTAGCAATAACAAAATTTTTGGCTTAGCTTTCAAGGACTTGAAATGATTTTAAAACTAACCTAGTTTATGATTTCCGAAAATACAATTTGACTTAATGATCAGAGAAATGATAACTTGCTTCTCACATACTTAATATATTTGATATTTAAGAGAAATGTTTAACCATCTGTATCAATTGTTGACATTTGTTTACTAAATCAACCTTTTTTTGCAATGAAAGTTTCATTTTCAATAATTTGGTTGAATGGTTAAATAAAACAATAGATGGCTGTACTTAGGGTTGCAATCTTTTATCTGGCTTTTTTAGGGGGAAAGATTATTTAAAATTAAAATAACGTTAGAATTATTGAAAAGGTTAATCTATTGAGAAAATATTTTTCGTTTGGTTTAGAAACAAATTCCACGTTTTTATTCTTGTTGCCTGATTTCGTTCTTTTAATTATAATTCTTGTTTTATCTTTGCAGGTGGAAGTGGTGGTGGTGATGAAGGCTTTACAAGCTCTTATAAATCCACTTCTCGAACAGGGACAGGAACAGGAGCTGCATCTGGATCTCGTTTGACTCGCTTAGATTCTGATGATGTTGGCCTTTCATCGACTCGTCGAAATATTCGACCCAGAGAGGATTCTTTCGAGTCAACTGCATCTTCTCGAATCTCTGGTCGTTTATATGACCGTAAAGACTCTAATGATGAATTTTCTGCCTCCAAACGAATCTCTAGTCGTGCAGGTAGCCGATCAGAGGAATCAGGTGGATATACAAGGAAATACTCTCGAGGTTTAAGTGGTGACCTCGATGTTGGCGCAGGTGAATCATACTTGTCCACACGGAAAACTTCAAGATCACATGGAATCGAAGATAGCTCAAGTGATTATGTCATTTCTAAAAAATCTGCCCGTGACTACGGTGAAGAAAGTTCAACTACAACACGTAAATATTCTAGTCGTATTTATGCTTTAGACGATGATCTTGACATTGGTGGTGGAGCTATGTCCACAACTGCTTCTAGATCTACCCGTTTATCAACATCGCGGATGTCAGAAGATGAAAACTATGGTATAACTAAACGTGGCTTCAGTCGATTAGGTTCAACTGATGATGATGGTCTTACCAGTGGATTAACAGTTGGTGGATCAAGGTTCAAAAGATCAGAGAGTCAAGAGTCATCATCTTTACTTAATCGCCAATCATCTAATGTTTCAGAAGATGGAAGTTTCAAATCTAGTAGCCTTAAACGGTCTCTGGACAAAGTAGATTCATACAAATCGTACAAAATATCAGCTACAGATGAAGATAGACCGGTATCACCAAATTTAAGGTTGAAATCACGATCATCGACCATCAATGAGGTAAACTTAATTACTTGTTGATCATGATAATTTGCTTTGTTTTTGAAACACAGCCACTGGTGTTTTCCTGGTTATTTTAATTAGCCTGTGAGGGAGCAAACTAAAAACAAAACTAGCAAGTAAAATGACGCCATTAGTGCAAATGCGTATGACAATCATTATGTTTCAAATTGCATTCATACTTGAGAATAGAAACGAGAAAAAATAGAGAATGATGAAGATGGAAAGAAGAAGAAGATAAAATGAGCTAAGGAAGAAACATAGAGAGGCTTAAGTCTTGTTGAGTGAATGGTGGGTAAGAACTCATTTTTAACTGTTTGCTATGTTGGGCTAATTTGCGTTAAAAATAGTCTTCCAACGTAAACTTTTCCCAACCTTTTAATACTTCGAATAAGATTCTCTTTTGTAATTCCTTTGTTATTCTCATCTTTCCCAGGTTATCAGCCATAAAGTCTTTTCATCTTCCTCATATCTTAACCTCTACATTTACCTAAATTGTACAAGAATCGATTCAAGCTTGAATATATATTAGAGGTCATTTTTCGGTGACACAGCATGAGGTGTAATTTATAATTGTCCAATAAGCTCTTCATACAAAATTTGATCTCATTTTTGTGTGAAAAAAAGATCAAATTCTTGGCAGTTTTACTGAAAAAGAAACCAAAAAAACATGAAATTAGTCATTTCTTTTCGTATTTATCTTACAAGAATTAGATTATTAGTGCAAGTTTGCGAACGATTCACTTCAAATCTTAACTAAGACAGGTCTGTTTATTTTCCCCATCAGCCTTTTTCTTCTCAATTCTGAATCCAGTGTTTTCCTGTCTCTTTTATCTCTGCTCCCTGAACACTCTTCAGAAAGTAAAAAATTTTCAATACTAATATTATACATGTAATATTTTCAAGTCAAACTTTTCATGGTGTCTCCATGTTTGCCTATCGTTCCTCCTTCAATCCCTCAACATCATTTTTAGTGTCTTTCTCACTTCATTTTTTGATTTCATACTTGGCATCAATTAGGTTAAGGTTCTTTGGGTAAAAAGCATATTCAAAGCTTCACGATAATTCTAATTCAAATCCTTTTGCTCAATCTGTTAAACCAAAGACGAAAATCTTGAACAAATTGAATTATAAATATCCAAAGGCAAATATGCATAACTTCATCATAAATTAATGCTTGCTTCAGTTTCAATCTTCCCTTGAATGGAATACCTTTGAATTTAATTTCAGAAAATTTCGTAAGCTCAGGTCAGATGTTGGCAAAGGTTTCATCTTTTTGAATTCAAGTTTTTTTTAAATTTTCGTACTTCAGGAACCCAATTTTATTGAATTTACCGACCTTCACAGCGTAACTTGAAACGCAACAAGTGAAGTTGCATTGAGCACTAAAATATTTCTGGTTTAATTTAGTAGAGAAATAATTTTAGGTAAATTCAAGGGTTAATTAAATTGTAAATAACCTTGATATACATCCAAATAATTTGAGGTTTATCAAGCATCACCGGTTGAATCAAATCATAATCAAAATAATTCAAGATGTTATAATTTTTACCTCTTTTACTTGCTTTTAAGCCAATCTTTGCGAGTCTAGTCTGTCAATTACAATCAACACCTCTAACATTTACGAAATCAATTTTAACACTTAGTTAAAACAATTGCTAGAGTAAGCATGTCAACGAACTTGAGAATAGTTCAATGAAACATTTATGGGCAACCTCGAAGGAAGTATAATATTGCATGAAAATTGATGCCAATTCTTAGCAGCCAATTAACATTGACAATCAGGAAGAGTAAGTTAAAAAGGATAGATTGCTGAATCATTTAAATTGTAACTTTTGTAAACCAATTGAGTGATTAACATGTATTGGTAAATATGTTTGAATTGAATTAACAAGATGCCGTAAACAATCTATTACATGTTTAAAATATACATGTACAGTCAATTAAAAACCACGTTAATAACCCTCTACATTGACATGTATTTCATGGAAGGAAAATGAATATCAGTAACCTTGCAAATTGCTCTGAATAAGCAAAATAGTGTCGTTTTTTAGGTACAATTTATTAACAATTTATTGGTCTATTCTTATAGGAAAATGTTTACGTTGCTGTATTGGATTACAGTCCACCTAAATCGGCTCAAGATGAGATTGAATTGAAGGAGGGTCAAGAAGTTATTGTCTTAAATAAGGATAAACCCCACAAGTAAGTTTCTAGTTTTTATCAAATATATTTATTATAATTCTTTTGAATTGATACAATTTTTTTCTTTCAATTCACAATCATCAACTGAGAGTTACAATTGTAAATTTAATATAAATTGATTGGATATGTTGCGTTCGATTTTCTTTATAAAAAATTGTTCACTTTTCCTGGCGATGTTTTTTTCACGTTGTGGTGAACTCCGAGAGCTTTGGCAAGTTCAGAATGAAACTCGAATTGTGGTTCCTCGATTTCTCTCTCATTTCCGTGTATTTCTGGAATGTAAACGGGTTGTGGCATGTAATCATAATCTTGACGAGCTTTCCGAAAATCACCGTGACTTGCCGTCAGGTTGGCCAAAGCTTCGAGTAGTGAGGCAGGAGGTGTTGGAGCTGGTTTTTGAGTTGTAGTTGGTACTTGGGTAGTAGTTGGCAATTGGGTGGTTTTTTCCACTATTTTTGGTGCTTTGGTTACTCTCTGGGTTGGCATCTCTGGAATGGATCCGATTGTGCTACTTGATTCAATAGATTCTGTCTTGTTTTCATGAACTCTTGGTTTTCTTGGTTGGCGGACCGTATTCACTGATTCAACAGCCAGTGTTGTTTCCTCGGATTTCATGGTTGTGACTTGAGGATCTATTGTTATTTCCCTAATTTCATCATCAAGTGTTTCTGGTTTCAAGGTAGTAATTGGCTGCGTACTTGGATACCAAGTGTTAGTAATCAGTTTAATGGTCCTCAAAGTTGTGGGGATTGATGACATAGTTGTGATTTCTGCTGGTGAATCATTAACGAGCGTCACTTCATCATCAACAGTGGAAGATAAATTCCTTAATTCAACATTGTGGTCTACAACTTCTTCGTCTGGTGAAGCACTGGCGTTATGAAAGTTATCCAATGGATCGATTTCTGAAGGATTAAGGCGAATTTCATCCGTATCGTTGAAAGCATTTGTTTCATTGTCAAATACTGGAATATCCGAATCAATTAATGGTAGAGGATCAGATAATGATGACACTAGTTCAGATGTTCCATTATTTCTAGAAGAACCAGACCTTAACCATGCCAATGTTGAAGAAGGTCCTACATCAAAATTCAAAATTGAAGACTCGTTAATATTTTCCAATTGAGGTTGATAAGCAATTTTTCTTACCTTTCATTATCCAAGTTACTGGAGTCATCAATGTATCCATTAGTGAAGCCTGGGATCCAGAAAGTAGGACACAAAGCACGAAAATTGAGACTGAGACTTTCATCATGGAAGAAAAATTGAGATATAATGGCACTATGAAAGATTTGAACTTTACTTCACTAGGAGTTGGTCATGAATGAGATGTTGCTGACGATGGACAAAGCTTTTAAACTTCAACCTAGACCCATAGGAATGAACCACATAATCTTATTATTTTAAGCCTTAGGCTAAAACTCTCCCGGCTTTAATGGTTTCAAACTTGCTGGACAAGACCAACATGGATCGAATTGACCCTAAGTCTCTTTTTTTCTTTAAGGTCTTTTATTTTTCTCAAAACTTGACCCTAAATGGAAAGCGATAAAATTTGTTATTTCAAAGTAATTGCGAAATTCAACCAATTCCTGGACTCATACAATAAATTAACCGACTTGGACCCTGCAATCAATACTTTTAACGAGCTTAAACACGCACGGACCAATCGGCTGTTTTTCCATGATATTTACAAAGAAATATCATGCGCATTTCTTATATTTAACGCAATTTTAAATCCATTATTCAAACCTCAGACCAACGGATTATCCACCTTCATTTTGTTACATTCTTTGTAGGATTATTGTTGAATCCATCATCTTTTGAAAATTTAAATAACAGAAAAACTTAAATGTCAATGGGAAAAATCAGGATAGAGATTGTTGGAGCATTTAATATGTATTTTCATTTGATTGAAACTCTCAGTTTATTGATGATCTTTTTTTTATTTCATTATGGACCATTTTACATATAAAACTAATTTATTTTTTCTTATTTTCTTCTAGATGGAAAGTCCAAACAAAACCATGTAAACAGAATCGTATTTCTGAAGAAGGATTTGTTCCTTCTTGTTATTTGGAACAAAAAACTCCGTATGATCCAAGTCAACCCGTTATTGACGATGAACCTTTGGAAGAAGTTGATCCTAAAATTGAAGAAGCCAAAAGGAAAAGAAAGTAATGATTGACAATGTTTATTCAAATTTTCTTGACATTCTAGTTGCTTTAATATTCATAATATTTAGCTTCAACCACTAAAAATATTTTATTCTATTAATAATACAATTTATAAACTAATTCAAATTTAATTCTATTTTAATTCTAACTAACTTCCTCCTCTTCATTATCGTCTTTTTTGTTAATGACCTTGTTTCTATTTTAAAATATTGACTTATTTTCAACCCTATTCATCTCTCTTCTCTGAAATTTAAGGAATGTGTTGAAGGAATTAGTCGAGACTGAAGAAGATTTCAATCGTGATATGCAATTCATTGCAAATACCTATCTTAAACATATGGACAGTTCGATTATGCCGAAGGAATTGAGAGATCAAAAAAGTCAACTATTTGGTTGTTTCAAGGAAATTGCTGATTTTCATAATGATGTTCTCATGAAGGGAATTCAATACTATGCCGCTGAAGATCCATCCAAAGTGGGCAACACTTTCCTTCGATTGGAAAGAGATTTTGACCAACACGTTCGCTACTGTCAAGATTTGAACACTGCTCAAACTTTACTAGAATCTGGTCCTCTTAAAGATTATTTTGATGTACGTAAAGTGTTTGCTTGTCTTCAGCAATAACAATTAATTATTTTATTCTAACCAATTCAACCATTACAGAACTATAGCAGCAAAATTAAGGATGATAAACGTCTGGCCGATCATCTTAAATTACCAGTCCAGCGGATAAATGACTACCAATTATTACTTAAGGTAATTTAAAATCACTGGTCTTGGATTGCATTTTGATTTATTTTTCTCTGTCTTTTTAGGAATTGATTAAATATTCAAGTAGATTAGGTGAAGACAGTGGTGATCTCTGTAAAGCTCTTGAATTAATGCAAGTTATACCTCAACGAGGAACTGATCTCCAATTTATCAACAATATGATTGGTTACAAAGGCAATCTTCATAAATCTGGTCGTCTCCTGAAACATGTATTGCGAGCAAAATTAAGTTACAATTTCACCTTATTCTCCTAATCGGACTATTTGTAGGACAATTTACACATTTTATTCTCGCCAAAAGCTAGCAATGCGCTGATATCCGATTCAGCTATTAAAATAGCTTCTTTAGATTATTCCAACACAATCAATCTTCTTCAACCAATATAATCCATTAACGCAGTTTTCGCTTAAAAATTGCTTATTCGCAGACTCACCATCACTCATTACAATTACGTCGGACTACAATTGAAATGGCATCAAATTTTCATTGTTCAGTTTGTCTCTAACTTTTCGTCTGGTTTTGAACTTAAACCTCTTTTAATATTATCCTTAAATTCATTCTCACCCTTTCCTGAAATTTAAGATTTGTGTTAGATCTTCTTTTTCCTTCGTGTGATATTCGTTAATCATAGTCTGTTTGGTTTTGCACTCTATTTTTTTCTTACCATTGTTGTTATTTGACAGTTTAATTGTCCTTGATTTATCATGATTTGTGTCGATAATCATGCCAATTTCAATTTAATTTCGGCGTAATTGTGATAAGCAATCAATCCTTGAAGAGTATCAATCTACAAATAGTCCGGTTTTTATTCACCTCAATCCTGATTCCTATCTTTATCCTTCCCTGTAAAGCAATTAATTTGTTATAATTCAATAACCAATGCTATTAAATCCCTAATTTAAACTCCTTTAAAACACCTAAAACCCATTCTATAAACCAATTCAGAGTAAATCAGTGTATCGTCTATACTTTTATCCACCCAACCTAACCTACTCAACGTAAACAGGACTGGTTTCAAGTCATCCAAAGTGAAACTACCGATCCAGTTGAAAGATACGTATTCTTATTTACTCGTCAATTAATAGTGACTGATGTCGTTAATTTAGCCAAAGATCGTCAAGGATACATTGTCAAAAGCATAACAAAGGTACCAGATTTTACAAAAATTTTGAACTGAATTATATCAACATTTTACAATTTAATCAATTCATTTTACAAAATTATCTTTTTTCTTAGTTGGAGGATATTAACTTTGAAGATGTTGATGATCTCACCTTAAATGTTCAACATAAGGACCCAGGAGTCAAAGGTTTTCCATTTAAACTGGTAGCCAAAACACCAGAAATCATTAAATCGTGGAAACAAGAAATCCAAGATGTTCGAAAATTAAGTACGTTAGATTAACAAGTTTCTCATCTAGCTGTTTAAATTGTTGGATTAACATTAGATTTTATCTATTTAGCTATTGAAGAGTTAGCTGATATACCAGAACCTGAGATTACAGAGGTAACTGATGTTGAAGATCTTAAGGTTGATGATATTTCAGTCAAAGGTACTGCAACCTCGCCCGAACCCTCAAGTGAAGTTTCAACCATTCGACAATTAAGTGAGTCTGTGGCAACTAGTGATATTGACACTAAACTTGGCGTAGCTGAAGATTTACACACAAACGATGGAAGTAATACAGTTATAACGGAAAGCCTTCGATCAGGATCAATCACCGATATTGAAGGTACATAGAAGCTTCAACATTTTCACCTTAGAAAACAATCCCATTTAGAGTACTTTTGCAACCAAATTACTAATTTCTAATAGTACTCTTCTCACAACCTTTTAAAAACATTATCCTCCTCATCAACCATTTTAAATCTTTGAATCCCAAGAAATTTTGTAAATGAACCTGATACCGATCCAGCAACCTCTTTTATGGCCGTTTTTGAACCTGTTGGTATAAACCCAAAGTACAGTTTAATGTTTGTTTATCAACTAACCCAAAGACTAAACTGATAAGTGAATCTCCTGCTTGAATATAACTAACGCTGAAATATTTTATGAACTCTTTAACGGTAAGATTAACTGATAACAATTGCATGATATTTCAGTGCATGGCTTAAACTAGTGGATAACAAAACCAAATTATGACCAAATTAAGAAGAAACAATAAAAATTGGAAATTGGCAAAACAAATGGCTTCGAGTACTTAAGGCCTAGTCTAGTAGCTATTAACTATCGCAGTATTAGTAATGGAAAAAATATGCGCTCAGATATCATTCCGCTTCCATTATCGCTCCTATCGATCAAATCCATTATACAGTGCTACATTCATTTAGCAGCGAAGCAAATTATCAGATTTTTAACAATCAAGACTTGAAAGTTAACAAGAATCAGCAAGTGCAAACCTTTTTAAAGTTGACTTGATAATTTCATCTCATTTCCCATGCGAAACCTCAAGTTGATCAATCAAATAGGCAAATCATATGTAAGATCGCGGTCATAATTGGGTTTTCCGTTATCCATTCTCTTCTCTCTTCTTTCCTCCCAAATTCCTATGGCTATCTTCATCTCTTCAATTGTAGAGTTTGCTTCTGCTTCAGAGGATGATTCTTTATATTTCTCAGCTTGTGATTTAGACGCCAAGCCAGTCTTCCGACAGCCTCTAAAGCCGGTCACCCAAAACGGTTAGTTTATTATTTTTTTGCTTTCAAAGTTTCAATAAATGTTCATAAATTTATCTTTATCTTTTTTATCATTTGCTTGTTTAATTATATTGGCTGTTATTGTGATATTTTCATGCTGTCTCGACTTCAATTGCTTGTAAACATTATCTCTACCTGCTTGATTCAATGATGGCGCTATGATAACCATTTGTGATGACCATTAGTTGGAGAGAAGGCTGTTCTCGAATGTCAAGTTAAATCGGCTTTACCATTGAATGTTACCTGGTTAAAAGATAATTCAAGATTAAAAGAATCGGAAAATGTTCAGAGTATAGCCTACAGTGATAAATTTATTTTAACCATTGATGGAGTTACCAATGAAGATTCTGGTCTTTACACTGTCATTGCTTCCAATGAAAAGGGTAAAACGTCATCAAGTGCTGCTTTAAATGTTAAACAAGGTTAGCATTGGTAAACGATACAATATTTATACTACCAACTGATAGATTAAATTGTAGCAATTAGATGGAAAATAATACATTTATTTTCCTTATTCATTTTTTGGTTTAACCAAAACCAAATTTTTACTGGATTTTGTTTCATACATTTCATTTCATATTTCAATTTTCTGATGTTGATCTTAGATCCATTGAAACCAGACTCTAGGCCAACTACTCCTGGAGGCTCAGTTTTACCTCACCCACCGAAGTTCAAGGTTAAACTCGCGGACACCGAGTTATTAGAAGGAACGACAGTTCGATTTGAGATGATTGTTCGAGGAATGCCTCTTCCACAGGTTACATTGTAAGGCAATCAGAATTAGTAGATTACTAAACAAAACTATCTTAATAACAATAGACAGTATTTACCATTAGCTTTTATTTCCTCACTAAAACATAGATTACAAATAACTAATTTAATCAAGTCATAATTTAGACTCTCTTTTAACAATTTAGATCCTATAACATTAGTTAATAACAATTGTCTTAATAACCCATTTAGTCCATTTTATCATTTTATTTACCATTTTATTGCTTTTTCTCTTCTGTTTCTATTTTCAATTCATATTTTCATTCGTTTACTTCGCCAATCAACAATTATGTTAAAATGTTAGTTTTAAAGATGACAAACCTCTTGAAACAAATGATCGTGTCAGAATAATTTATGAAAACAAAGAAGTTTTTGAATTGTTTATTGACCACGTTAAGCCTGAAGACGCTGGTTTGTATAAAGCATTTGCCATCAATAGCCTTGGTGAAGACTCGACCAGTGGAAGAGTTACAATTTCAAGTAGGTACTTTATTAGGAAACAATTAACCTTGTTTAATAACAATTAACTTTCCTTAATAATTGCCTAATTCTGTTACCTGTCTGTTTAATTATTAAGTTTATCATTATTTTCACTACTAGAAATAATATCAAATTGTTTTTGTATTATCATTCTGGCCCTAATCGTTTCCATCAAAGTGTAACCTTGAACTTATTTGAAGATTCTTTATCTGAATTAACTGAACATTTCCTAAAATTTTGATTTTGTTGCACTGTTTTTCGCATATGATTTTATCGACTAATTTTGATTTTCTTTCTTCATCTAGAACACAAAGACGTTTTCAAAGGATTGGAAGATGATCATTCCCTGGCTGAACCAGAAAGTGATGTTTCTCGAGCTGACTCGCGACCTAGAACACCGGCTTTCCGTTGGTTTAAAGATGGTCAAGAGTTTGAGGCTAGTGAAAGGTTTCAATGTACATTTGATGATGAAGAAGACACAATTGCCCTTATCTTTCAACATGTTACACCTGATGATGCTGGATTATACACTTGTGTTGCTAGTACTTCGAGTGGTAAAATTTCCTGCTCTGCTGAACTTTCTGTTCAAGGTGAAGTGCGTAAGTTGCTTCGTGAACCAGAAAAACCGGCGATAAAAGTTCCGTTATCTGATGTTGAAGTAAACGAAGGAGCATCTGCCATGTTGGAAGCCAAAATTACCGGCTATCCTAAGCCAAAAATTACTTGGATGAAAGATGATGTTGAAATTAAAATTGATGAAAGGTACAAATTTTTGTATGAAGATGAAGAAAGTTATACCTTAGTTATTAAAGGAGTAAGGCGTGATGATGCCTCTAAATACCGTCTTAAAGCATCCAATGATCTTGGTGAAGTTGAAACACAAGGATTATTAACAGTCAACAGTGCTCCAAAGGTTAAACGGGAACTAAAAGATCAAGCTGTCATGGCTGATGTGCCAATGAAACTTGATGTTGTTGTTGAAGGTACTCCAGCTCCTGTTGCTAAATGGCTAAAAGATGGTCAACCAATTAAAGCTGATGATCGAATTAAAATGATTGATCAAGAAGAATCACACTCTTTGGTTATTACCCCAGTAAAACTTGAAGATGCTGGTAATTATACTTGTGTTGTCTCCAATTCTTGTGGCCAACAAACAACACAATCGGTTGTAACAGTTAATTGTGAGTTTAATTCATTTATTTCTTTTTCAAATTCCATTCTCTAATCGACTCAATCATCACTTTTCTTTTCTTTTTTCCAGCACCACCTAAATTTCAACTCGGTTTGAAAGATACTGAAGCAAAAGAGGGAGATACAATTGAATTTAAAGCTAAGATACTCGGTAATCCAGAACCAGAGGTTACGCTATTGAAAGATGGTAAAAAATTGGATCGTCAAATTTCGATTGAAAAAGAGAGTGAAGTTTATCGTTTCAAAATTAGACAAGCAACACTTGAAGATTCTGGCGTTTATCGCTGTGTTGCTAGTAATCAATATGGACAAGAGACGAGTGAGGGTTCACTCACTATCGTTAAAAAGCCAACCTTTGATAAAAGATTAGAGGATGTTGAGTGTAAAGAAGGAGACACTAATATTGATCTGAAAGTAAAAATAAGTGGCAGTCCAAGGCCTAAAGTTCGTTGGCTTTTCGAAGAAGAAGAGATTAGTCGATCTTCCAAAAGAACTGAGATCATTGAAGAAGAAGATGGTGTCTTTATTTTGAGGATAAAAGAAGCTTCCCTCGAAACTGCTGGTAAATACACTATAATTGCTACTAATAGTGAAGGTGAAGTTCGAAGCAGTGGTATCGTGGATGTTAAAAAAGACGATACTAAATCTACACAGAAACCCAGTTTTGGACAGAAACTGAAGGATTTAGAGGCTTTGGAGACTGACCTTGACGTTACCTTTAAAGCTTCTATCAATGAACCAGATAAAACAAAAGTAACGTCTATTCGATGGTACCTTGACGATATCGAGATAACTGAATCTGATCGTAGATTTAAAATAGTTTCCGATGAACCTGTTGGAACATATCGGCTTATTATTAAAAGACCTGACGAATCTATAGAAGGACGCTACAAATTGACTGTTGAAAATCCTTATGGTTATGATGAAACGAGTGCTTCTTTCACCATTTTAAGGGAACCCAAATTTTTAAAGAAATTACGAGATAAAGATATCGATGTTAATGACAAATTAACTTTGACAGTGAAAGTTGATGGTGTTCCTGAGCCCAAATTGACATGGTTCAAGGATGACCAAGAAGTCACCAAAATCTCTGACAAAGTAGTTCTCGGTAAAATTGACGATGCTTACAGTTTGGTCATTGATTCAGCTCAATCAGTCGATGAAGGGGTCTACAAATGTACAGCTGTAAATAAAGTTGGCCAAGACTCAACATCAGCACGGATCACAATTTTAAGTCCGCCTCAATTTACTAAAGGATTGAGTGATGCTTCAGCTTCTGTTGGAAGTGATTTAATCCTTGAAGTTCAAGTAACTGGCGCAGATAAAGTTGAATGGTATAAAGATGGTTTGAAAATGTGTGAAGCTACTCCTGAAGCTGATGGTATCACTTATAAATTGCCGTTGAAACCAGTTAAAATGGATGATGCTGGAGACTACAAAGCTGTCGCCAGAAACGCTTTTGGTCGAGTTGACTCTGGAACTGGTCATCTAACTGTTATTGGAGAAACCAGAGAAGCTCCTAAGTTCATTAAACCGTTAGCTGATGCCACAGTTGACGCTGGATGCGATGTTACATTTACAGTTAAAGTTGTCGGCTCACCAAAACCTAAAATTACTTGGTTAATTAATGACAAAGAAATTACAAAATCTGAGCGAATAATATCCAAAGAGTTAGATGATAACACTTATACTCTTACAATTAAAGATGCACAGTTAGGTGATCAAGCAGTTTATTCTGTTTCTGCTGTTAATGATTCTGGTGAAGCTCAAGATCAAGCTTCGTTAGCTGTCAAAGTTGCTGTTGAAAAGCCCAAAATCGCTGGATTAAAAGACATCGAAGTTGACCGTGGATCAAGTGCAACTTTATCCTGTACCATTACTGGTAGTCCTAAGCCAGAAGTAACTTGGTTTAAAGATAATAAACAATTAAGTTCAAATGATGAATTTGAAATTGTTACTGATTCTGATACAAAATACAGTATCGTTGTCAAGAAGGCTTCTGAAACAACTCAAGGTACTTACATAGTTAAGGCTAAAAATAGCGCTGGTTCAAGTGAAGCAGACGTCAAGTTGACTATCATTGCAGAACCTCCAAAGTTTATCAAAAAGTTGTCAGATTGTTCTGGCTCACTTGGATCAGAGATAACATTGGAAGCTGAAGTTACGGGATTTCCACATCCTGTTGTTTCATGGTTGAAAAATGGTTCTGAGTTGATTGAATCAGCTGAAGCATTTGTTGCTCAAATTGGTACCTTAAATAAATTGTCTCTCAAAGGCCTAAAAAATTCTGATGAAGGTACATATACATGTAAAGCTGAAAATAAGGCGGGTGAAGCAAGCTCATCCGCAAAGGTAACCATTGATAAAGTGAATTTAGTCAAAGGATTGCCTGACAATTTAAATGCAAAGGAAGGCGAAACATTGAAATTAGAAGCCAAGTTGTCTGGTAAACCTGAAAGTCAACCAATCAAATGGTTAAAAGATGGCAAAGAAATTCCCTCTGATGGAAGATTCCAAACCAAAGTACTTCCTGATGGAACTGTAACATTAACTATTAATGATGCTCGTCCTGAAGACAGTGGAGTTTATCAATTAGTTGCCGGTGAAGGACCAAATGAAATCAATTCTCAAAGTAAAGTCGCAGTCACTCGTAAGTAATCTATTTGAATTGCCATTATTTTCTAACCCATCTTTATCAAAATTGAAAATTTTTCTTTAATTTCTTTGCTTTATTTTGTTTGATTTTATTTAAAATTGAATTTTTTCTTATTTAGCCACAGAAATTAAAAAACCAGACACTGAACCTAAATTCATTGAAGATCTTCATGATGCTCGAACCAAAGAAGGATCACCTCTTAAAATGGAAGCCAAAGTCAGTGGAAGTCCTAAACCAGAAATTACCTGGTTTAAAGATGAGGAACCCATTTCTCCTAGTCCACATTATGGTTTTATCAGTGAACCTGATGGAACTATTGGGTTGATGATTGATCACTGTACTTTAGATGATTCTGGTGATTACAAAGCCGTTGCCGCAAACAGTGCAGGAGAATCAACAACTTCAGCACGAATAACTGTTGAAAAGCCATCAAGCAAGCCTAGCTTTAGCGGTGAATTGATACCTGTCGAAATAGTCGAAGGTCAACCTCTAATTTTGAACGCAAAGGTAGATGGACATCCAGTACCAAGTGTTAAATGGTTGAAAGATGGGGAAGAGATAAAACCCGATTCCCGAATATCTCTAACACAAAATCCTGACGGAACAGTCACTCTAGCAATCAATAAAGCCTCACCTGATGACGAGGGTAAATATACTGTTGCTGCTGCCAATGATGAGGGTCGAGTAAGATCAAGTGCCCCAGTAACCGTTCGTCGTTTATCTCGCTCTCTTTCTAAACCATCATTTGATGAGCCTCTTAAGCCAACTACTCTAAAATCTGGTGAACCAGCAACAATTTCAGTAGCTGTTTCTGGTGAACCAACGCCAGAAGTAAAATGGTTAAAGGATGGTCAAGAAATCGAACCAGATGGAAGGCATCATTTTGTGGAGAAACCTCCCAATACAAAGAGTTTGATTATTGATGATGTTAAACCTGAAGATGCTGGAAATTATTCAGTGGTCGCTGGAAATAATCAAGGAGAAGATAAAACTTCAGCACCCATCAAAGTTAACCGTAAGTACTTTCGTGATTGTAAATCTCTATCCATTTTTTCACTCAACTTTTTTTCATTCTTCTATCAACCAGAATCTCCACGATTTGTTAAACCTTTGGATGGAAGTATTGAAGCCGTTGACGGATTTCCAATTAAATTAGAAGTGAAAACCGAGGGTGAACCCAAACCTGAATTAACTTGGTATAAAGATGGAAAATCTATTATTCCAGACGGTGATCGTCTTCGAATAATCAATGAACCCGATGGTGTTTCATCTCTGATAATTGCTAAAACATTACCCAGTGATAAAGGACACTATTCGTGTTCTGCGACCAATCCTCTTGGCTCAAATAAAACGGAAGGTGATGTAGATGTGAGTCCGATTAAGAAAAGTGATGAAGCTGAATCAATGCCTCGTTTAATTAAAAGCTTGTCCGATTGTGAAGCTGATGAGGGCAAATCAATGAAATTTGAAGCCATTGTTGACGGTAATCCAATTACTGAAATAAAATGGTTCCGTAATGGTGAACCATTAATCTCAGGGTCTAATGTTGTTCCCTACTTTGATGGTAAACATGTTGGTCTGGAAATAAGAAATTGTGGTCCACTTGATCAAGGTGAATATGAAGTTAAAATAATGAACCGATTAGGACAAGTTTCCTCTAAAAGCCAAGGGATAGTTAAATCTCGAGGTCCGCCCAAATTTACTCAGAAACTATCTGATTCAACATTTGGTACAAAATCACCAATATCTCTTAGTTGTCGGGTTACTGGCAATCCCGAACCTGATATTTCATGGTATCTCAATGGTAACCTAATTGAGCCTGGATTGAAATATCAAATGAAAAGAGATTCAGGACTATTAAATTTAACTATAAACAATCCGTCAGCAAGTGACGCTGGTGTTATTGAATGCCGAGCAAATAATCTTTTGGGTTCTGATTCAACTCGCTGCTCAATCAAAATTAGGTAAAAAGGAGTTTTCAATTTCTATCCTTTTTAATTATCACATTTGTATTTTAAATTTATCATCAATGTTTTTTTCAGTGATCGATCGTCTAAAGAAGAACCAGCAGCATTTATCAAGCGATTCAATGATTATGAATGCGTTGAAGGACAAAGTGCCAAATTCACAGCATGTATTGTGGGTAATCCTAAGCCAGAACTTAAATGGTGAGTTGAAGAAGTAATCTAATTTTTCATGTCTTGTTTTGTAAATTTTTTGTTATTAATGTTCGATAATTCATTTCAGGTTCAAGGATGGAATTGATTTTGAACCCACTTCTCGACATTTAATTGACGTTGAATCAAATGGAATTGTTAGACTAACAATTAGAAATATTGAGCCCAGTGATGTTGGAGAGTACAAATTGTTTATCTCTAATTCTCACGGCAATGACTCTTCTTCAGCTAAACTTTCGCTTGATAGTAAGTTTGCAATTCTCATTTCTATTATCAATTCATTATATTCTCTATTCTATTCTAAGTCTTTTATGGTAATCAATAATTTTTTAGAATGAGATCTTAATTAAATTGAGCTTTTCGTTACTTTTTTTAGACATGGATAAAAAGTATCGTCGTCGTAGCATGGATGTTGGTAAAGAGTTAAGTAAACGAAGCGGACTTCCATCAGCATTACTAGACAAGCCAAGAATTCTTAGAATGTGGGATACTGGAATATCACTTGGATGGAAACCAGCTATTCCTTCTTATTCAGGAATTCCAGTAACATATACTCTTGATTGGTGTAAACATCCTTACAATGACTCTGATTGGAAGCCTTATCGAACTGGAATGCGTGATAACCGCTGCGATATACCATGTTTGGAACCTGGTCAAGATTATAGTTTCCGAGTACGAGTTGAAAATAAACATGGAATCTCTGATCCATCTCCAGTTCTGACTGCTTTCAGAAGTAAATTATTGACTCCTCATGATGCTAGACCCAAAGATTACGAGATTGAAAGGCCACCGATGGATAAAACTGGTATGTCACTGGTTAAATCTCAAAGTTTTTGTACATTCAAACAAGTAAACCCGAAAAACTAATTAAAGTTTCAATTGACGCAATTTTTATCATTCCCTATTAGCTTGTCCTCCTCGTTGGTTGAGAAAAGAGGATGAAGAAATGTATGGTATTCGTGGTCGTCCAGTTACCATTGAATTTTGGGTTTATGGTTACCCAGAACCTGAAATAAAGTGGTTCTTTAATGATATTGAGGTAAGTGTTCATTACCACTTTTTGAAACTGTTTATTAACATTTCTTTTTTTGTAATAAGATTCAAATTGGTTCGGGTAATTACGATGTTATGAAAGATCGGAATGGAAAGGTTTGTTTATTCATTAATCGAATGACAGAGAGAGCAGTTGGTACTTATTCTTGTCACGCAAAGAATGAACATGGTGATGCTTGGAAGAAAATTAAATTATTAGAAGCAGGTAAAGTTTGCTTTTACCTTATTACGACTTCAATTTCAAAAAATTCCTTTAATTAATTTTTTAATTGTTGATTCTTGTAGAGCCACCATCATTCACTTTGAGGCTTAAAGAGACAACAGGAATGGCATATAAATCAATCAGATTGGAATGCAAAGTTACAGGATTACCTATGCCAACACTTAAGTGGTTCAAAGATTGGTTACCAATTTCTGATTCTGACCGAACGAAAATTCTATGGGAAGATTCTGAAAATAAATCAACTATGTTCATAAGCTCTGCCATTTCACGAGATGCTGGTCTGTATTCAGTCACGGCGACCAACATTGTTGGCTCGGCATCATGTTCAGCTAATTTAGCGATTGAAGGTAAACGTAAACTTATATTACATTTCACTCAGCTTGGAATTAACTAATCATTTTTTTACAAAACAGACGATGAAATCATATTCAATTGGGCCAATTATATACCAAGAGTCATTCGGCCTCGAAAGAAAGCACTGGAAGATTATTATGATCTCGGTGATGAACTTGGTCGGGGAACTCAAGGAGTTACTTATCATGCAGTTGAAAGAGCCAGTGGCAACAATTATGCCATCAAAATGATGCATGGTAAAGAGGATGTGAAACCTTTCATGGATCGAGAATTGGATATGATGAATCAATTTTTCCATCCAAGATTAATTCGTCTCTGGGACGCTTTTGATCACAAAGAATCTTTAGCTTTAATCACTGATTTATGTGGAGGAGGTGAACTTCTTGAAGCAATTGTTGGAAGAGGTTCCTTAACAGAGAAAGAAGTAGCCAATTATATCCGTCAAGTTTTAGAGGGATTAAACCATATGCATGGTCGCGATATCGGACATTTTGGATTAACGGTATAGAATCAGTATTATAGTCAAAATCTCAATCATTTTCTTTACAATCTTTTTTTAATTGTTGTTTACTTTTTAAAGATCGGTGACATATTGTTAGAACGAATTGGAGGAGAAGATTTAAAGGTTGGAGATTTCAGTCTATCTCGTCGTCTTATACCTGGTAAATCGTACATCCTTGAATATGGACATCCAGAATTTGTTGCTCCTGAGATTGTAAATAAACAACCAATATCTCTAGCTGCTGACCTTTGGAGTGTCGGTGTTTTAACTTATATCCTTTTAACCGGTATATCACCATTTTTGGGTGATAATGATCGTGAAACTTTGAGTCGATTGAAAGAGGGTAAAATAAGCTTCTCTCATGAGGCCTTCATCCATGTTTCAGAAGATGCCAAAGATTTCCTCTCTAAATTGTTAATTATTGATCCAACCAAAAGAATGGATGTGAAGAAAGCTCTTGAACACCGATGGATCTCCGGAGACTCAATTAAACACCGAGAAGATAAATTGCCTTGTATAGAAAGTTTGTCAGATTATCTTAAAAGATGGCGAAGCTGGGTTAGTATATGCGTTCAAATTTTCAATTTTGTCATCTTTTTTTCTTCGACTGTAACTTTTTCTTCTTCTCCATTTATAGTACAAAAATGCTTCTTGTCGAAAATATTTCCGCCGTAATCCACTCGAGTACTGCTTCACTCATCCAAGTAAAATGATTTATCCTCCTGATGAACCTTACAAGCAACCAGAGACTCCAACTATTGAACACAAACCTAAATTCAAGCCAGGCGAAGTTGATGACTCAGTTTCACCTAGACCTGGTTATGAATCAGCAAACTTTACATCTGAAAGCCAGTAAGTGTAAACTATTAGATAAATCAGGTTAAATGTTCATACGATTGAATAAATAACTTCATTGCGATTTTTGATTAGCCTTAATTTAGAAAGAAATATCTCGATCATTTCATTTTACCAATTAAAGTGATCATCTTCTAATCATCTCGTTTGGGAAAATACAGTGTGATAAGATTGCCACGTAGCCGCTTCTACCTAATTTAAATTCTAACTATTATATAACTATATTAATTAACAGGTTGTAATTGATATTTGATCATATAATTTAATAGTTAAAACAGAGAGAACCTTCAATCAAAACAAAATTCAATCAAAAGCTATACGTTTAAAACGACACGATAATTACAAACTTATGTTTGAATTCAATCCTAAAGCTAACAATAACATTCCTTTTATTGAGCTCAATTTAAACGTAACAACTTGATTAACCTTTAACATTCACTTTCTGTTGATTAACCAATCGTAAAATTAATACAATGGTTCACAAATTGCCAATCAAGGAAACGAAAGTCATTCAATACGGGATTAACATTAGATTTAGCTAAATATTACATATACATTCAACTGAAATGAAAAATTGACAATCCATTTAGTCATTATCCAAAACTTGATTTGCTCAAAAGATTGAATTTTGATATGCCAATTACTGGTAAATTGATTACAAATTAATTAGTTTAATAAGCGTTATAAACAAAAAGTATTACAAATTATCAATTACAACGCAAACCAAAATATTATTATATTGAATTAACCAAAGATTATATCTTCTTCAATATTTTAGTCAAAAAATTAATAAGAGTCTAAAAACCAAATAATTTATCATCAATAAAATATTAGCTTGTAAACATTAAATATAAATTAAAGCAATGAATACATTAAATAACCCGAAATCTTGATAATCACATTCCCAGTCGAGTATTTTCAACATAAATTTAACTTGCGGTGAAGTTGTCCTTTGAATCGTATCCATTTAATCATTAAATTGTTGCTCCGTGCAATTATTGTCACTCTGTATTTCACACATTTTGTCTCTTTTCTTTGTCTCTCCACAATCAACCATAAAGATATCAATCTGGACCAGATACATATTTATTACCTCATCGTGATGTCGATTTCCCACTTCGTATTCGAGAATACCTTCGAGTTGGTGCAAGTCGAAGTCCAAGTTTGGCAAATAACCTTCGCTCAGCCCATTGGGGTGACACCAATGTAAGATACAAGTGTTTCCTATTAACTGGTTTCCGTTACTTGCTTCGTAGAGAAACCTTTTTATGCCTTTCCTTCATCTGTTCCCTGGCTCTTTTAATGTTAATTGTGTGCGAAGTATTGATTAACCTCGAAACCCAATCACAACCACCATCACAGTGTATTGCTGAGTTTGTAATTCCCCGTTGATTGTGATTAGCTAAAATTACGCCCAACGATTAGCAATTTTCGCTGTCAGAATACAATTTAACATTTGTTTGTTTATCGTTCACGAATTAGATTCACAGCATCACAAGACAAACAAATTTTATTTTAGTCAATCATTTTTAAACACTTAAACGATCCATCCAATTTTAATCACAATCAAGGTATCATTGCGATCTTAAATCACCATTAGTTGAATCTTATAAACTGTACAATTTTGTTTTTCATTGTTTAAATTGTCTCTCTGTAGTTGATTAGTTACCGTCCTATCATTATAAATTGTCAAATCATTATTTTAGATTATTATTTCGATGTTAAATTTAATTTTTAGTTTTTATCGATCAAATAAAAGTTTATTTATGTAAATTTTTATTCCGTTTATTCTCGCGCCAATCTTTGGACTTTTTAAAAATTAGGCAATTTTTTGGTTTTGATACAAAAAATTGCATAAAATCCATTGGAATCGTTATGGTTATGTTTACAAAACATGGTTAATCAACTTCGCAAACAATCAGCACAATTTGCTTATCTTTTTGACCTTGAAATTATTCAAATTAGATTTAGATCATTAACTGACCTTGAACCTTTCTAATTACTCTATTAATTATATCCATTAACCCTTGCCAATAACTAAAAATTAACTGTGTGCACTAAATGTTTTGTAGTCAACGCTGCTTACCTTAATATCCCGCTTTTTCTTCGGGACCCGGTTTTTTCTTCTTTCTCTTTCTTCGAATTTTCGAAATGGTTTTAGCTTGGAATTGGTCAACGTCCTTCTCCTCAGGTTGCTGTCCGTGAAAGGCGTAAATTTGTTGAAGTAATGGACGAAGAAATTGAAGACGAACGCAAAGGACTGGACACTCGAACCGTTCCAATGAGATTGCAACATGAGATAGGAACTCATAGTTATGCTTATGGACAAGTACACCAGTTGAAGCAAGAAGCCGCTCTACATTTAGGCCGAGATGTTTCACTGAGAATGACTCCTCCATTTTTCCGTGAAAAGATAAAAGATGTTGTTGTTACTGAGGGCTCAATCGGTTTATTCAGTTGTTTTGCTGTCGGTGAACCAAAGCCTACTTACACTTGGTTCCGTAATGATGGTATTATGATTGAATCACATCGAATCAGTGTGAAACAGCTTTCATCAGGCCGAGTAGAGTTGACTATTAATCCTGTTCATGCCTATGATGTTGGTTGCTACAAAGTTGTTGCTCGAAATGAACACGGTGCAGTCTTTTGCAGAGCACGACTGCGAATCGGAACACCACCCGAAAAACCTGATCCTCCCGAAGTACGAGATACATCGTCAACTGAAGCCTATTTGGTTTGGTCTCAACCTAAAGGACTGGGAAATTCGTGGATTACGTGTTATTCACTAGAATACTCGAAACATACAAGTAATGAATGGAACCTGTTGGGCGACAAGTTATCTCAAGAGTTTTATCTTGTCAGAGACTTGGATCCTGGAACCAACTATGTTTTTAGAGTTAAAGCTAAAAACAAGTTTGGTTGGTCCGAGATTTCAAATGAATCTGAGCCTGCAACAACAGCACCTAGTGGATCGGATGTTCGTATTTCAATACCTCGAAGTTTCAAGGAAAAAATGTTGATTGGTGAGGTTGGTGAAGCTAAATGGGAAGAGCCCATTGCTCCAGATCTCGATTATTCACGCGAAAAAGCACCAATTGAAATGAAACAAGGCGTTGAATATAATTCACTGTATCATACTTCATCTGATATAATTGCAAGAGGTCACTTCTCGGCCATTATAAAAGGTGCTTGTAAAGAGACGGAAAAACCATTGGCTTTAAAGATCTGCCTAGTGGAAAATCAAGCTTCCTCTGGCATTATGAACGAGTATGAAATGTTAAAATCACTTTGTCATGAAAGAATCGTCAACCTTCACTCAGCTACCTGTGGGTCTGATCTCATCGCTTTGGGAATGGAAAGACTCTCTGGTGTCGATATACTCACTTATTTGTCCCAATCAACAGTCTACAGTGAAGATTGTGTCACCCGAATCATTCAACAAGTCCTCGATGGCATTGAATATCTTCATTTCCGAGGAATTTGTATTCTTGAATTACAGCCGGATAATGTAGTCTTGATTAATAATCGTTTCCCAAATGTTAAGCTAATTGACTTTGCCAATGCACGTCATGTTCCGCCAAATGGCACCAAAGTCACAATTAAAGGATCACCCGAATATTTAGGTAAATTCAGGAGTTTATTGTACTTTTATCTCAATCACTAATATCTGTTATTTTGCTTCTTTCTGCTTTTAGCTCCAGAGATAATAAAACGCGAAGAAGTGTCAACAGCAACGGACATTTGGTGTGTTGGTATATTAGCTTACATCTTACTGAGCGGGGCATCGCCTTTCAAAGGAGAAACAGAAGAGGAAACGATTGAAAATGTTTCATATGTTAGATATCATTTTGATCATTTGTATAAAGAGGTTACCCAAGAAGCAATTCGATTCCTTATGTTAGTCTTTAAACGATCTCCAACGTAAGTATATTCCTGATTTGCTAGACAAATTGTTAGATCATTTATTATATTAAAATGATTATTAACTTGATATTTTTATTTTAACCAGAAAACGACCTACCATTGAAGAATGTTCAGACCATAAATGGTTGATGCCAAATGAATATGCAGTCAGAAAACGTGAATCAACTCTTTTCTCATCCAACAAATTGGCTCAGTTTACGGAAAACTTTCACTCAGATAAATCATGTTCGACTCCTGATAAATTGCTCAAAATGTTGGGTCTCTCATAAGGTAATGAAATTTTGAAAACCAAACTCGATTTTTGTGAATAATTAATGTTTTCCGTTTCTTCTCATTTTCTCATTAGATAACCATTTTCAGTAAAGTTTGGCTAAAAGATGAAGCAAGTTTGCGGTACCCATCATTGTACCTGCTATTTGTGGGCGAAGGATTTTAATCACAAAAATCAATCATCAATAATGTAGCAGGAAAAACTCAGGAACCAAAATATTGTTGGCGCCCTTGTTAACAATTGTCATGTTTTGTTTTTCATGTTGTTTTTTTCTCGGAATCTGTAAAGCTTGAAAAAAAATGTTCAGTCTTTTTACCAAAAGCAACCAAAATCTTAATGTTTCTCGGTTTTCCTTTTGTTTTTTTGTTCACTTACAAGTTATTTTTGCAAACTTTTTGCGTGCAAATAATCCATTCTGTCTGAACAATTAACAGTGCTCATTGTGATTCGCCCCTAAAATTAAAATCAAATTGACAGACAAATTGTAAACTAACAAAAGGACAAATGAAAATCAAATTGCAATATAAGCAAATAATCTTCACCTTTACTTACTCTGTTTCATTCCCGATGTTGACAAATTGTCACCAAATGATCCGGCTTATAATTATCATCCAAGTCTCTATTAAAATGTAGATTTCAAAGACAACCGATGAACTAAATTAAAGTAACCAATTCAAATAAATAATTTACACTAGCAATTCAAATTGAGACATCAGTCAACAATCAAGAAAGCTTAAGAGATTGTTTATGTCGATTTAAAATGTTATGAAAAAAAATCTCGTGACAATCAAGGACAATGTCATCTACCTTGATTTAAAATGACATCATTTAAATTCTGGTAATAATCTTTGGAGTAATTAGTATCATTATGGATCACAACCACAATTGGCTTCATCGCTACACGAATATGCGTGATTAATGTTGGCTTACCTCTTCTCATTCATTCATTATGTCTCAAATGATAACTATTAATTAGCTGGTCCAGTCAAGTTGGAGGAGTTGAAGAGTTGAAAGAGGATTGCCAAAAGATTGAAAGTTAATTTAGAGGAGGCTCAATATAATAAGCTTAACTCTATTTGAATTCCCAAAATTCAAGTTCATTATCATCTAAATAGCCTCAAGTTAAAGCTTTCACTTTTCAGAATTAGATCGTTCTAGATCAATTCAGGCCAAGATTTGTTTTAACAATTTGTTGTTAGTTCACCATCAGTTCTTGTTGAAACATCAATTTCTCACTATTTCCAACCGCTCTACCTATTTTTATAAACAGTGACTATCCATATCTTTACCCAACTCTAATTCAATCAAGTTTGAATTGAAAAAAAATAAATTTCCAGATAAACCTGAAGGAGAATAAGCTTAGGAATTTTCCAATTCCTGTTTAACCTAAGGGAAAATTTATTCAAATAGATCTCGTTGATCTGGGAAACCAAGAAAAAACATTTCTTGTTTTGTTTTTCATCGCCTTGACCACTTGTTTTGTACATTTGATCTTCATTTTAACGTTCATTTCCAAACTTGTGACTCTCGACTCAACTTGACTAATCTAATCTAAATTGTGTGCTACTTCAATCATCAATCCATTGTTGCTCATTGCATCTGATTTTTTCATTTCATCAAAATGAGATTCAGAAAGTTTATCAAAGTAGAACCTGAATCAATTGTAAAAGTACGTGAAGCTGTTTTAGCTGCTCATGAATCAGATAAGGAATCATTTGATGACAATGATATCAAGAAAATGGTTTCTTCCGACTGGACGTGTTTTCGTTTCTTGGCCTTTGTTAATGGTGATGTTGACGGTGCTACAAACGCTTTAATCGATTCACTTAAATGGAGGAAGAGTAAAAATTTCAACTCATTTACAACTCACTATCCTTATCCAGACTTGTTTTTCCGCATGGGAACTGTGTTCACCTATGAACCCGACAAATGGGGCCATCAAACACTCTATGTAAGGGTTAAATATTTACGTAAAATTGGTGAGCTTAAACCTCTTCTCAGTGATTTGGTTGATTACATTTTATGGAAAACTGATGAAGCTTCAGGTGAATCTGGTTGGATTTTGATTATGGACTTTGATGGAGCTGGTTTAGTCAATGCTGACATAGACACTCTCAGTAAAATGATATCAACACTTAAAACTCATTTTCCATGTGGATTGGATTTCATTCTGGTTGTGGATTTACCCTGGATTTTAAAAGGTTTCTGGGCTTTGGTTAAAACCTGGGTTGGCTCGTCAGATAGTTTGATTAAATTTGTTTCGCGAAAAAGCATTTCTGATTATTTTGAACCTTCAAATGTTCCTGATTTTATGGGTGGAAATTGTAAATTGCCCTATTGTGGTGATCATGTCGTTAAATCACTGGGAATCTCTGATAAATGTCCTGATTTGTTCTCGTATTGCCATGATACTCTTAAATTGTCTGATCGTCGTTGCTCTGAAATAGAGTCTATTTATCAACCGTATTTAGATCAATCAGTGAAAAAAATAATTGAATAAAATGAGTAACATTTTCTCATTATCAATTCACCATCTAAACGTTCATTAATTGAATCAGTTAGATTGTTCTTGATCTTGTACCCTCATTAATAAAAACCCTGACACTCAAAAATTGTCAAATTGTATTCCTTAAGCCAAAGTTAATTCATTGATTGATGAAAGTTTAATGTTTTTTAATGCTTATTTTTAAACGAAACCTTGACTTGATTAGCTTCTGTCAGTTCACAATTCAATTGATTCTCTGCGTAAAAACCTTTTTTTTCATTCTTTTCCGTAAACTTAATCAAATAAGTGAAACAATTTAAGCAATCAAAGCAATATTAAGTTAACATAACCTTGTCTAACAAGTAAACAAAGCAGATATCAAATGAATAATAGGTTATAAATAAACTCTTTTATTCGCTTTGCTAATTGTCAATAGCTTTGAATTGTTAAAAGATTGATACAAGAACGGTGAAATATTCACAACACAGAGTTTTAATCAGGAAGATGAATATAATTGAAGTAATTGTAGTACAGTAATTGTAATTGTTAAGAGAGGAAGAGAGGACAGTGTTTATCAATTGAGATTAGAGCTGAGATGGTTGAGTATAAGGAGGGCAGAAAAAGATCGAGTACTAGATCGATCTTGTGCTCGATATTTTAATGTCTTTAACTCCGAAGATCGAGCTTGAGTCATCTATCCTGTTCTCTCTAGTATAACCAGTAACCATCAAATTCCACCCCCATGATTAACCAAGTAATCGGTGGTTACTGAGGCAGCTCAATGCCATCTGATTATAAATAGGATAACTTCATAAGGAGTAAAATTGTTGAAATAGATGAGCGCCTCTAGTGATAGATCAAATAACTTTCATCATAACAAACTCGGCATCGATTAAGATGACAGGATCCGCGATTTTCAAGCTCGATCTTGGGTCGAAACCAATTAAAAGATCGAGCATAAGATGGGCTGGGAATGATAAGGTCGATCTTTCAATTTTTTGATTTCCCATGCAACTGTTGACTCAAATGATTGAATGAAAACCAGAATCATCAAAAATCTTTCAATTTTTGAGTTATTTTTGTACTTTTTAGGCCGTCAATCTTTCTCGAGTGTTTGAATCTGTAAAAATTCAAGCTGGATAAGATCGGAGGTTCATTTTCGCAGCTCTCAAGATCGATCTATCGAGTAGTCGATCTTTTTCTGCCCTCTTTAACATCGATTCCTCTTTCTCTTGCTCTTTCTAAAATGATACGGTTACCATTAACCGGTTACTCGTTTTACTAACCGGTTAGTGGTAACCATCTCAGGTCTAGAGAGCGGTATTATTCCCGAACTAGGCGAAGTAAGCACAATAAAAGTAGATTTTGTGTATGAATGAAAGGCTCTTTATGCTCTTTCATCTCTTCTTTTTTCATCTCTTCCATTGCTCCCTTCTCTCTTCAATCCTCCATTTCATATTATTTTCATAATTTTTACCCATCGGTACATTTTTCAGTGTTTGATATTGACTCTTCAGTCAAAGTGAATTTCCTCCCCTTCTCTATTTTTCTCTCTTTATTTTTTCTTGTGTAAGACATGTCTTTCCGTATTGTCCGGCGTTCCAAGTTCCGACATGTCTATGGACAAGCTTTGAAACGAGAACAGTGCTATGATAATATAAGGATTACCAAAAATTCATGGGATTCACTTTTCTGTGCGGTTAATCCAAAGTTTATAGCAATTGTCATCGAAGCTGCTGGTGGAGGAGCTTTCCTGGTTTTGCCATTGAGTAAAACTGGGCGTGTTGATGTGAATTCGCCTCTCGTTTCAGGCCACAAAGGCACAGTTTTGGACATTGCTTGGTGTCCTTTTAATGACAATGTAATTGCTAGTGGATCAGAAGATTGCATTGTCAGAGTTTGGCATATTCCTGATGGAGGTCTCACAAAATCTCTAACAGAACCTATTGTTGAATTGGTTGGACACCAAAGGAGAGTAGGTCTTGTTTCATGGCACCCGACAGCCAACAATGTTCTTCTCTCAGCTGGTGCTGATTGTCGTATAATCATATGGAATGTTGGAACCGGAGAAATTTTATCATCAATTGATCATCCTGATCTTATTTTCCATTGTTCATGGAGTTGGGATGGAAGTCGATTATGTACAACTTGTAAAGATAAAAAAATACGAATCTATGATCCTAGAACAGGAGAAATGGAGCAAGAAGCTGATGGTCACGAAGGTGCTAAACCTCAAAGAGCAATGTACTTAAAAAACAATCTTATTTTCACCACCGGATTTTCAAGAATGAGTGAACGACAATATTCTTTGAGAAGTGAATCCGCCCTCGGTGAACCAATTGTACTCGAAGTTCTGGACACAAGTAACGGAGTTCTTTTCCCAATCTACGATCCGGATATCAATATGGTTTATTTATGCGCCAAAGGTGATAGCAATATAAGATATTTTGAGATAACCGAAGAACCACCATTTGTCCATTACATAAGCACCTATCAGTCCACGGAACCTCAACGAGGTGTCGGCTCAATGCCTAAACGAGGTTGTGATATTTTAAATTGTGAAATTGCCAGATTTTATAAACTACACTCAAAAGGATTTGTAGAAGTCATTAGCTTCACAGTGCCTCGGAAATCGGATCTTTTCCAAGGAGACATTTTCCCTGATACTCAAGCTGCAGAGCCAGCCATGACGGCAGAAGAATGGATTAGCGGGGTTGACAGAGAACCTATTCTGATGTCCCTAAAAGACGGAATAACTCAACCTAAAAAAGCAGAATTTAAAGCTCCTCCAAAGAAGCCCAATATTCTGGATAAAAATCCGGCAAAGAAAATTACACCATCAGGTTCCAAAGAGGCAACACCTTCACCGCCTGGATCTCCGTTACCTGCTAATGCTAATCGATTAGAAGAGTTAATGAGCGAATTAAAAAAGATGAAAACTGTTATTCTCAAACATGAAGTCAGAATCCGTGATCTTGAGGAAAAATTTTCAGTTGACGCAAATGCCAATAATATTGCCAACAATGGCGAAACTTTGCTCCCTGATGAAGTCTAGAAGGAAGATTTATCGAAGAAAGCTCAACCTCCACCAAGATCTTCACATCTGAGTACCTAAAAATAGACTCTATTGCTCTCGCTCTCTATCCTCCTCCCTCTCCATCTTTCTCTGTCATATCTATTCTCATCATATCTGCTCTGAAAAAAACAAGAAAGCTAAGGAAAAAAGCCAAGGAAATGACACAAAATGTCACAATTTGACCGGTTTACTCATCGTTTTTAATTATTAATTATTAGTCTGACTCTTGATTGATTTTACCACTATTGTAACCTGTGATCGTTTATTTTATTTCTGATGATAATGATAGTAAAACAACAAAAATAACACAAATCGTAATATTAAATATAATAATGATATTCATTATAAATGAAACTGAACTATGCTATAATAGACTCAAGGCAAAACAAAAGCACAAATCCAAAGCCAGTGTAAACCTTCCAAGTCAATTTTCAATGGTCATTCACAAATAAATATGAATAAACACTCAATTTTTTCAATAATCTCCGACTAATCTACCAATCCATTTTTCTGTGACAATATTTCACTTATACTGAACACTTACACTTCTGATTCTTCTTTCTTTTGACTCGACATGATAATTAGACAATCTGGGTTTGATTTACGCTAATAGTTCATCCAAACTCGAATCTATTCCATATTCACTAATGAGTCTTTCATCAAGTTTATGTTTAATCTGTTTAAAGTTTTAAATCTCAGACTAAGCTTGATTTGGCTAATATTAGATACTTCTTGTATAATAAATGATTACATAGAAGGTTGACTGTTAAGTCTATTAAAGATTATTGAAGCCTAACTATGTATATTTAATAATATCATTGCGGTAAATTTACCTGCTCTAAGCCTCGAGGTTAAAGCAGAAAGTGAGGTTAAAAATAAATCATCTTTGCGGCTGTAAAGGCTTAAAAGATTAACAACTTTGTAAGTTAAACAGCTTGTAAAACTAACTAAATTTGGTTCTGTGGTTAATAAATCTAGTAATCTATTGGTGACTCTAAAAGACTCTAGTAATTGAGACGGGATAGACTAAAATAATCTACTGATTTAAACTCAGTTAATTCACCTAATTGTTTAAAATATATAATAGTATCTAGTCTCGCATGGTAGACCCAAAAGCTGAATCAAATAAAATTGAAATTATGCAAACTTGTCAATTAACTTATATGGAGTTAAAATTAACAGGCTATAAAATAAGTTAATTTGATATTTATAATAGCTGAATTATCAAGTGAAATTGATAATCAAGCTGGAAATGATTAAAAAAGGCGGATTACTAGGTTATCATAATTTAGTTGAAATGAAACACTTTTCAAGCCAGGATGTGCAAAGTTCATTGTAAACGATAAGATAAACCATTTTAAATTCAAGCCAAATTAGGTTTGATATTTTGTGAATCCTATGAATAAGTAAAAGTCAAGTTGATTATGATTTCATTGATCTGATTTGCGCTTCAATGTTTCAACTCGATATTTAGAAGAGTTTTTATCGTCAAATCATCATGATTATAATTTATATTTGGTAAAGAAATAGTTTAAGTCAATGACTGTAAGTTGATTCTTGCAATGAGTGTTAGTGATTTGACAATTCAAAGCCTTTTCTTTTTCTTTTGGGATTGAGTTGAAATTGGCCAAATCCTGATATTAATATTGGACATTTACTGAGGTACGGTTAAACATCGAATAGAAATATTGTCAGATGTTATTCATTGATTCATGTATTTGATTAAAGGTTTCATCAGATATTCAATGTGCAGTTGACTTTCAATGGAAAAACATTGAAATATTTGTAGGAATGAAATAAAGGAGTAGAAATGTTTTGGGTCGCAATCCGTTGTTACTTGTTTACCTTGTCTCGATACATTAACATTAACCATTAACTTGAAATGGTAATTGATTATCAAATGAAACAAAAATATGTGAGATAATCATGATAAGTATAAATAATGTTTCATAAAGATGATGAGATGGTGAATAATAATATAATTATGTTATTTGTTGTTGTTTTTTTGCTTCCCGTCAGGACAATTATGGAAGTGGAAGCGACACAAAACGGTAGGATTTCCGATAGGTGTTCACCTGATTGTAGTTGAATAAAATCATTATCATGAAAACGGAAAGAACTATGAATCTTGCCTGGAAAGATAGTAATGGTGATGATTATGATATTAATAGTTGGCATCAGGAGATTTGCAGGCGAGTCATATAAAATAATGGTTGACTAAAATTATTGAAAACTTGAGGATCGCAATCAACAAGTCATCGAAAAATCATTAACTTATGCATTTGTAAATTAAATCGATTATAAATCAAATATTGAATCCATTCTTTAATACATTAGTATATTTTACTTGCAATGATTTCAAAACATTATTAACCAGATCATTAATTGCTAACCAGGATTTAAGGTTAACCATTTTCAATTGAAAGCCAAATTGGGTTTGATATTTTGTGAGTCCTTTAACCAGAGTAAAGATGATTATGGCTTCATTGATCTGAGTTTTGAGTTAATGGTTTGTTTGCCAGTAAATCAGTAAACGCGATATTTGAAATATTGATTATGAATTTTTTTATCGTCAAATCATCATGATTGGAGTTTATATTTGTTGAAGGAAAAGGTCTAAATCATTGACTGGAGACAACACAAAGCTAGGAGGCTTTAGGTTTAACCGAAGAGTAATGTATTATTGAATTAAAATTGAAACATTTATGAGAATGAGCATATATCGGCTGAAATGGTTTGAAACCACTTATACTTATTACATTGTCACAATTGTATCATTTTTAATAACATTAACCATTTGCTTAAAACGCTTGAGGTTTAAATGTTTATGGTTAATAAAATCAGACAAATAATCATAGGCATGAATAATGGTTTTAAAAAATGGTGAATGAAAAGATAATTATGAAAATAAAACTTTGGGTTTCCGATAGGTGTTCAACTGATTGTAATTAACTCAAACATAATCATGAAAAGGAAGAGTAAGATGAATCTTGCAGAAATTATTATGAAGACGATTATGATATTATTGTTGTCATAAGAAAATTTGAGGCGAGTGATTAAATGAATAATTGATTCATCAATGGTTTTTTCATCACGCAATGAGTCTTCTTCAATCGCGTAATTACTTTTATTGAAAATGGCTATCAATGAATATACATGAATATGGTCTTTAGCAAGTCTTTTTAATAGAGTTGGAAATTATCCATCGGAATAAAATAAAAACAATTTGTTAGACAGTTAGGAACGAAGTAGGAAAGGAATCGAGAATTGACTGGACTTGAAAAGCAGCTTATAAGAAACAGAAACGCTTGGATTGAAATTGATTGATGAGACGATGAGAAATGCAATAGTCTTTAATTCCTGTAATTATGGCTACTGTTTGTTCACAGTTGTCTAAATTCAAATAATAACTGTTGATTACCAATTGATTAGACATGCATCACAGTTATCACATGAAACAAGGAAATTACTGAAATCCATTATCATCATCAACTGTGAGTTATCCAGATTCTTTGTTATGTTTGTATATGTGGTGTATGTGATCCTTGATCAATCACAATTCACGATTATCCTCATCAGCATCACGTTCAATTAACTTGAACCAAGTAACTAAATTTATTAGTAACTAATGTTTACAAGGAAATGTACGGTAAATAAATGTCAACAATTAAAGGGCAATATCCTCTGGAATATCCATTGCAACTGCTAATGTAAATCATTTTCTTAAACAGCTTCTCCATTAACTCATAAGTTAAGTTGACTAATTGTTATAGTTTGAATCAAACTCAATAAATGATGGTAAAAATCATTTGAACGGAGATTAGCCATTTCTGTAAACATCAATTCAACCGATGACACAAATGGGTAAAAACGGGTAAAAATTGATTTCTTTCAAATTTAGACTCTGATGGTTTTTAGAGACATAAGAACTGAGTCAATTATTGCGATTCAAAAGTTTCTCTGATCTACAGCTTTCGAGAAAATCGAGTTTGAAGCTGAAACTTCGATCGCTTTCTGTACAATAATGGAAGCATATTTTTCCATATAACTCGTTGCACTGATGTAACCTTTGATAATCAATCAGAAAATGTAAATATTTTTAGAAATGCATTTTTCTGTTTCTTTAAAACAGATCAAGTTCAATTTTCAGTTGAACAGGCCGTTTTCTGTGACCGCAAGAGTTAGCAAGCTGAAACTTACTATTCGTCAATAAAAATTATTAGTACACATCATGGAATGAATAATGTTTTGAACTTTATAATAGTTCTCTTGATTTTGACCATTTACCTAAAAAACTTTGAACATCAATATTTTGTGAATGGCATCATTCTTTGATCAAACATTAGATTATACTATGGGTTATAATATGATATGACTGAATAAAATCTGACCTAATTCATATAATAATGAATATCCCTCTAACGCATAAGATTTGTGTTGATAAACCTTTTAACTGCATAAATGAAGCTCAAATCGTGTAACATAAGTAAAACAATGCTACAACTTTTTTTAGGATCTTTGGCTAGTAGAGATCTTTTAAGAATGATTTTTTAATTGATTATATTATAGCCCATAATGCAATCTACTGTTTGGTCAAAGAATAATGGACGTATGTTATGCCATTCTCGAAATATTGATGTACAAACTTTTTAGATAAATGGACAATATTAAGAAAACTATCGGTAAATTGAAGAAGTTATTCGACCCATGCCGTTCACCAACAAATTTAAGCGACAAATTACAAGTTTCACTTCTCTAACTCTAACGGTCAAAGAATGCAGTCGCTTTAAATGAAAATCACACTGATTTATTGTGAAAAGCACACAAATAACACAATTGTCTCATTTATGCACAAGTTTACACAAATACTGAAAGACAAATGGGCAAAAACGGGTAAAATTGATTTCTTGCAAACTTAGACTCTAGATTTAGATGTTAGTTTATAGAGACATAAAAGCTGAGTTCATTTGTGTCATTAAAAAGTTTCTCTGATCGATAATTTTCAAGAAAATCGAGGTCAAAGTTGAAACTTCGATTACCTTTTGTGCAATAATGGAAGCAGATATTTTCATGATATTCATTTTGGTAAGGTAACTTTTGATGGCCAACCATAAAATGTCTTTATTTTGGTAAATAAAACTTTCGGTTCAAAATAAAACAGATTAGTTCGATTTTACTTTAAAGTGACTTTATTCTAAGACCAAAAGTGTTAGCGAGCTGAAACATGTTATTGGTCGATAAAAATCGTCGACACACATCATGGGTTGAATAACTTTTTCAATTTATCAACAGTTCTCTTAATATTTACCATTTACCTAAAAAGTTTGAACATCAATATTTCGAGAACGGAATCATCTAAGTCCATCATTCTTTGATCAAACAATAGATTGCATTATGAGTTATAATATACTAGCACTTAATACTGACTCAAATCTGAAATATTCATCGAATAATGAATATTCTTTCAACACACCGTAGCTAACTCTTTACCTTTGTTGATCAAGTTTCAAATCTGACAACTCAAGGAATGAATTGTTATAGCTTTTTTTGTAGTTTCTTGAATGATCTCAAATTCAGCCTTATGATAGACTGTAACAAAATGTAATGTTTGGTCAAAAAATGATGGATGTAAGTGATATCGTTCTCGAAATATTGAGGTTCAAAGTTTTTAAGTAAATGAGAAAATATTAAGAGAACTATCGGTAAATTGAAAAATTTATTCTATCCATGATGTAGTGCAACAATTTCCCTATCAGAATGACAAGTTTCAGCTCGCTAACACTTTTGGTCTTAGAATAAAGTCGCTCTAAAGAAAAATCGAACTGATCTGTTTTATTTCGAACCGAAAGTTTTATTTACCAAAATAAAGACATTTTATGGTTGGCCATCAAAAGTTACCTTACCGAAATGAATATCATGAAAAAACATGCTTCCATTATTGCACAAAAGGCGTTCGAAGTTTCAACTTTGGCCTCGATTTTCTCGAAAACTATCTATCGGATGAATTATTTAATGCCACCAATAGATTCAGTTTAAATGTCCCTACAAATTCACCAAGTTTCAACTCTTTAATGAATTGTTTGAGCCTTTGGCAGCATTCTGTGCCTTTGCATTTACAGATTTAACCAGAAAATTGGTTTATTTACCAACAAATGGGTTGAGATGAGTTTGTTTTGTTGAATAACATGTTGCTCGTATATTTACAACCCCAGAAATCATGACTCAAATGCATTAATGAAAATTTATCGAATTGATTTGAATTATTAGTTAGTAAAGAATTAAATTTGTGCAAGAATGATGATTGTAGGCGATGCCATTCTCGAAATATTGAGTCTCAAATTTCTAAGTCCAATGACCAAAATCAGGAAAACTGTTGAAAAATTCAAAAAAGTATTCAATCTATGATTTGAGCATAGCGTTTTTATGGACAAGTTTCAAGTTTCAGCTTGCTAACTCTTACGGTCGCAGAAAGTGATCGGTTTGACTGAAAATCGGGCTAATCTATTTTACAGAAAAAGTTAAGTTCTATTTCTCAAAATAAGACTATTTTCTGGTTGATCATCAATATTTACATCAGTGAAATGCAGTTTCATGAAAAAATCTGCTTCCATTATTGTACAAAAAGCGATCGAAGTTTCAATTTTGACCTCGATTATCTCGAAAACTATTGATCAGACAAAATTTTAAATCGCAATAATTGACTCAGTTCTTAAGCCCTACAAACCAACAGAGTCTAAATTTGATCGAATTTAATTTTTACCCATTTTTGCCCATTTGTGTCACTTGTGTCTAAATGTTACAATCATGTTAATTGTGTCTTTTTATTAACAACCACACAAGATGGCAGGATTTTAATCAAAGTTAAATTACTGAAACCTAACCCTGACACTCAAAAATTGTCAAATAAAATTGTATTCCTCCAGCCAAGTTAATTCATTGATTGATGAAAGTTTAATGTTTTTTAATGCTTATTTTTAAACGAAACCTTGACTTGATTAGCTTCTGTCAGTTCACAATTCAATTGATTCTCTGCGTAAAAACCTTTTTTTTCATTCTTTTCCGTAAACTTAATCAAATAAGTGAAACAATTTAAGCAATATTAAGTTAACATAACCTTGTCTAACAAGTAAACAAAGCAGATATCAAACAAATAATAGGTTATAAATAAACTCTTTTATTCGCTAATTGTCAATAGCTTTGAGTTGTTCAAAAATAAAATCAAGAATTGATGAAATTTTCACAATACAGAGTTTTAATCATGAAGATAGAATGTGATTTGATTTAATCGTCAAGAGAGGGCAGCGTTTATCAATTGAGATTTTCCAGACACTTGGTGATTTAGGTTCACCGTTAGCCCAATATTCAACCCAATGTTGACAGTTACATTTTAGTAAATTATAATATACTGGTTTGTTTTTGAACATCATTAAACTTTCTCGAGATGTGTTGACAGCGCCGATTCGCCCCAAGGAACCAGGACCTTCATTGAAACACCAAGACTCTTGATTTCGCGATACATATTTATCCCGAGTATCCTCTACAATGTAACCTCTGCTTTGTCGTTTATTGGCAACAATATGTATCATACTGTTTGGTCCAGTTGCCAAAAGGTTATGGTATGGAAGCAAAAAGTAGTGTCGACAACTAATCATGTCACCGGCCTCCATTTTAAGATCTCCGATGTGTGTTAAACATTCTAAAGATAGCAAATTAGATCGTTAATTGTCAGTTGATAAGTTACTGAATACTCTTCTCTCTCTTGTTATCTTTTATTGAATTTATCAGTACAAACACAATACTGGCGACTACGAAAATATAATAATTGAACTTACTTTTAAAGATACACTTTTGTCTTGGCTTGCTCAGTGATAATGGGAAACAATTAGAAATGATTACCAAACAAATCAACAATGTGCATAAATCGTTTTGTTTTGGAAACATTTTCAGATTTTCTGGTCAAAATTTGATGCCTGTTACAAGGTTGAAGACTGTGAATTATGTGATCTTGAAACATGGAAAAGTAAATTGCTTAGATTAATCAAACTATTATCTAAGTCTCTAGCATTCAATTGGATGAAAAAGGAGCTGATTTAGCCTCAATTACACATATTATCAGCTATAAGAAATTTTGAGCTCAAGTGCTCATTTTATTTACTCATCTTTTATCTGGTACCAATTCCTTACTTGGAACTATGAAATTAAAAACTGCCATTTTCATGAGTTTATTTGATACAGGGTCTAAGTTAATTCAGGTGGCTCTTGATTTATACAGTCAATTGCTGTCAAACTAAATGATAGCTTTAATATCTTATTTCAATATTTTCTTATTGAGATTATGATCTTAATTTTTACGCGTAAGCTTCTGACTTTTGCATTGGATGAGTCCATTTAACTTATTAATCAAAGTGAAAGGAATTATCGACAAGCAGTGATATTAAACCATACTAACATGATTGTTGGTTTCTAAATTGTAGACAATTTAGTATTAAAAACCTCAAGTTGATTATGGTAATCATTTAAAATTTTAAAATCTAAATTTTCTGCTTAGAGTTATTCAAATAAATGCGCCAAATATGTGCAGTTAGTAACCTGCTTAGTTTGTTTGATACATCAAAATAAACATCAATGTTTTGCTTTCAATCTCTTTATTGTTAAATAGTTTAATGTTAAAGTTAATTATTATTTTAGTTAATACTTTATTACTTATGTTTTTTTAAAGTACTTATCATGGAATATTTATCGAATCGTTTGAATATCTCAATATTAAAAGAGGTTGCTCGCAATGAACTAAGGACGTATTTGCAGCAATTCAAGGGAACTAAAGTAAGAAACTCATTTCATCTATCTCATTTAATTGTTTTTAAAGGGTGTAATTATTATTAATATATATTTTGCATTACAATTTTTCAATAGGCCATTATTTGGGATGACAAATTACTTTCTAGTATAGAGCTTGTCGCTGATTTTACTTTCCTAAAGCAATGCGGTGTAACCAAGATGCGGCATCTAAGATCTGAAAAGCTACCCCAAATCGAAGCTGATTACTTGATCTATTTCCTTCGTTCTAAAGCATCTTTAATGAAAATTGTTGCTGATAATTTACAGGGTGAAACTCGTGAAACGTTTAACAAAGAGATTCATATACTTTTAATGCCTTACAAGAGTTGGCTTTGCGAAAAGAAACTCCAGGATTATGGAATTTTACCATTGATAACTAGTATTAATGAATATCCAATAGAAATACTTCCACTGGACACTGATGTCATTTCTATGCAGCTGGTTGATTGTTGTAAGGAGCTTCTGATTGAAAAGGACCACTCTTGTTTATTACATGTTGCCCGTGCTATTATGACAATTCAATCATTGTTCGGTATCATTGGAAATGTGTATGGACAAGGTCCTTGGTCTCAAAGAGTCTTTGATTTGATGACCAAGTTGAGTAAAGAAATGTCGCTTAAAGAGTCTCAAGTGGTTCCACAGATTCACAGTCTCCTATTAATTGATAGATCTGTTGATTTTGTTACACCTTTAATGAGCCAAATGACCTTCGAAGGGCTGCTTGACGAAATATTTGGTATAAACAATGGAATTATCAAAATTCCATCTGATAAACTCAATAAAACCAATGAAAGTGGATCTATTCGAACCAATACCGCTGATGGTGTTGACCCTCCTACTGAGGTTAAATTATTCCGTTTAAACTCGACTGATCTTATTTACAGCAAAATAAGAGATAAAACTTTTTACGATGTAGGACCAATCATTAGAGACAATACGAAAAAGTTGTCCGTCTTAATCGATGAGAGGCATGAGGCAAAAAGTGTCCCAGAGATGCAGTTGTTCATGAAAAAACTTCCTTCCCTTCAAGCTGTTAAAAACAGTTTAATAAATCAAACATCTATTGCTGAAATTGTCAAAACTGTGGTGGATACTGAAGAGTTTAATCAAACTGTTGAAGCGGAACAATTGTTTGTTAATGGTGTTGATACCGATAAGGTAAATACTTATATCGAGGATTGTATTGCAAGGCAAGAACCTTTAACTAAGATACTTCGATTGATCTCTCTCCAATCTCTAACCAATAATGGCCTTAAAAACAAAAATTTCGAGTATTATGTTCGTGAAATTCTTCAAACATATCGGTACAAACATTTGGTTACTTTAAACAATTTAGAAAAAGCTGGACTTATAAAACAAAAGACCAGCTATCTCGTCAAAAGCTACAACATATTAAGGAAAACATTCCGACTTACCAAAGAGAAAAGTTCTGGTCCTGATTCTGATATAACCTACGTTTATAGTGGATACGCTCCACTTTCTGTTCGACTTGTTGAATTCATGATCTATCCTGGATGGAGGGCAATTCCTGAAGCCTTAAAATTGCTCCCAGAGCCAACAATTGAAACTAAACAAATCATTCCAACTGGACTTCGAAAGGGAAACACCAGTGATTCACCCGTTTCGGTTCCAACTCCATCCGCAGAACCAAAAGTGGTGCTTGTTTTTTTCATCGGTGGTGTTACTTTTGCCGAAATATCTGCACTTCGTTTGCTATCACAAAGAGCTGACTGTGAGTTAAGATTTTTATTTCACTCTATTGTCAAAACTATAATTGCTAAAGTTCTAGAAGCTGTGATCTTAATTACAATCTCTTTTTCATTCTTTATATGCAGTAAACGTTGAATTTTTAATCGCCACAACACACATCATCAATGGAAAAACATTCATAGATTCGCTTGGAGAAAATTTCGATAAAAAGCCATCCTGTGTATGAGATCAATATTTTGTTAATTGGTTTAATTCTGTTGAATATTTTTTTATAATCGATTAAAATTTAATCATTTTTTAAGCGTTGAAGATGATTGTCAGTCCTAAGAAAACCTCTGCACTTTTCAATTTTAGTTATTGCTTTACTCAAGCTAACAATTATTGATGATTAAGTACAAAAAAATTCACAAGACATTTGTTACATCCTTAACAAAATTGACGTAAAAATGTTATATCCATTAAACGATTAGATTCATGCAAGAATGAATTTTATGATTCAACTAACGTTTGCTATTTGTTTTGTTACAACCCATTCAGCGTAAGCTTCAAACAATCGAGCAACAATTTTAAAAAAATTAGGAACTTATTAAATTTAATTTTATTGTTAAGTTAATAAGTAAAAACCATTTTACCGCTACATAATTGATTAAAAAACAATTGTAAATCAATTTCTTTTGAAATATTCAAGTAATCTTGATAACATTGAAAAAATAAATGTCATCTGTGGGATCAAGTTGGGAATTCCTGGTTGTTATACCTACACAGTGTTAAACAGTTAAACAGAAAGTATTATCGTTAAAAATATTCTCGGTTGATCAATTAATTTGAATATTGTTTGAATTAAGCTTTAGCAAGTCGTTCTTTAATGTCGTTCTCAAGCTTGATGACATCGGCTGAAAACTTTTCAATTCCTTCTTTCAGCTTTTCATCGGCCATAAGAGCAGCATGGAAAGATTTTTCATCATAATTAGATTCACTATTGTCGTCTGGTAATTGCTTAGCCTTTTCAGGGCTCAAAACTCTTTCCAATGGAACATCCTTTTCATTAGATAGTTCAGCTAATAATGATGGTGAGATTGTCAACAAATCACATCCAGCTAGACACTTGATTTCACTGACGTTTCTGAAGGAAGCTCCCATAACAACTGTTTTATATCCATGTTTCTTATAATAGTTGTAAATTCGGGTAACACTTTTGACTCCGGGATCTTCGAATGGATCTTCATAAACCTTTTTGCCTGTCTTGGCGACCCACCAATCATAAATTCGACCAACAAAAGGTGAAATCAGGGTGACACCAGCTTCAGCACAAGCCACTGCTTGAGCAAAGTTGAACAACAAAGTCATGTTGCAATGAATTCCTTCTTTCTCCAATTCTCGAGCAGCCTCAACTCCTTCCCAAGTAGTGGCCAGTTTTATCAATATCCTATCACGGCTGATTCCATTAGCTTCATACAGCTTGATCAATTCATGAGCTTTCTTGATGGAACCTTCTTTATCGTAACTGAGCCTGGCGTCGACCTCAGTTGATACTCTACCTGGAATAATTTTAAGAATTTCCATACCAAACGCAACACAAAGGTAATTCATTGCTGCGGTCACATCTGAACCATTACTTTTACCATACTCGATAGCTTTATCAATTATACTTGAATACTGAGGTAACTTGGCTGCGGCCAAAATCAATGAAGGGTTAGTTGTTGCATCTGTTGGTTTATACTCCTTCATCGATTCGAAATCTCCAGTATCGGCAACAACAGTTGTATACTGTCTCAATTGTTCCAAAGTGTTAGCCATGATTAATATCTATGGAGAGAGATACAATATTAGATATTTCAAATTAGCAGAGCACTGAATTTAAGTAACTATAGGGCAAGGTGAACGTTGAAAGTTGATTGTTTTAGATTTGGTTAACTGTGAAAATTGGTGAACTTCAAATCAAATTGAAATCAACTCAACACGTCAAGCTTCACAATTGATCAAATCTCTAATGTTGTAAAGATATATATAGTTGACAACAGGAAGCAACAACAACAACAACCGATTTCCAAACGATTGTTTTCAAACGAAAAACAGTTTTAAATTTATGCACAATAAAACAGCTGATAATTGAGATTATAATCAAACAAGGACATCATCTAATTAAGAAATTGGGATCAAGCTTTTGAGTAATCGTCAAGTTCAATGAGAAAACAATTGTATTAGAATGTAACTATTTCCAGTCAAGGGTAAAGTTGAATTGGTGTCTATCGTTTGTCAAAAATAGATACAATGTGTTTTTAAATTGGTACTTACTTTGCTTAATTTATTTTTTTGGTAGCAGCCAATATAAATTTGTAATAGACGAAAAATAATGAGGAAATAACACCCAGTAAAAAGTACTTTTTCCCTATTCAATATGAACAAGTAATAGAGCTGGAATTCACGGAAACAGGGTGAACAAATGACGTTGATTAAACTTGTAGTAAGAAGATCAGCAAAGAAACTATACACTGACGGAAGATTTTCAACTCTGCTTGCTCTTAACAAGACTTAATGAAGACCTGCTATAAATCACATGCAGATAAATCTTTTACAACTTCTATTATCCAATATTACCTCCCCTGACTGTTGCTTGAGTTATCCTTTTATGATAATTGTCAGTGTCTAAATTATTGATAATTTCAAGGTTATCATTATACAGCTGTAATAACATGGAGCTAATAGATGTAATACTTGCAAATATGTTTCTAGAAAGATATTGAAATGTAATAAGAAATATGAGATATCAATAATAGATCTCGAAGGATAATAATCTTCGATTCGCATTTCTTCTCTAGACTGTGTCAATGATGATCTTTTTATGAGTTGATTGTTTAAACAAAAGCAAATTAAAAATTAATTGAATATTTCGATATAAATGAATGATCGTGAAATTAAATTGTACAATACTATTCATCAGTTGATTTCAAGTTACACCAGCTTTAAATAACCGCATTTTTTCAAAAGGAATAAAATATCGCCAAATTTAGTTCAATTAATGTTATATTTATAATTGTATACACATTCCAGAAGTGGTTGATTTATGTGCAAAGAACAAATATGCTGAAAGAGGCTAGTTAGCGTAAAAATGAACAGACAGGTGATTGATTGTATACATATAAATTGATTATAATGAAAAGATCAACGAAAATCGCAAATAAAAAACGTCAAATAGGAAGACAATTCTTCTTTCACAAGTCCATCATTTCATTTGAATCCATAATACAGGCATCTACCACATCGACATCGACTTCCAGTGGTTCATAATTTTGTTTTGGTGTGATGATTTTATCCGTCTTTTCTTTCTCTTCCTCCTCATCTTTTTTATATACATTTAGTGGAGGGGGAAGCAGTCCAATAGGGGGTTGCCAAAGTACGACAGATTTGGTGGCTTTGTTTAATTCGTCTTGGAAAAGTCTTTCAATACGGTCATTACGAGCAGAAAGCGCTTCTTTAATCTCATCAGAAAGTACAATGGTAGACTTGTTGGAGACTTCATAATCAGTTTCCAATTCATCGTCTTCCTCTACCTTAGTTGGAGAGCTTGGACTTACTGGTTCAGAATTACTGATACTCATTTGATTAAACTTAGCTGTAACTTTATCCTCACTAATATATTGCTTAGTAGGCGGTTGTCCAATAATTTCATCGTCATCATCGGAACTGTTACGACGTTTTAAATGAAGATTAGAAGTACAAGTTCCGGTTCCTGATGAAAGCTTATTTAAAAGCTCCCATTCTGTCGCTGTTTGTGAAGTGCAAGGATCAGGAGCGCAAATTTCATCTGAACAAAATGCAAGAAAAAATAACATGGAATGAGAATCAAGGAAAGTAAAATCTACTAAAAAATAAAACAGATTTAGAAGTCACACTTACTGAAAACAGATGGTCCGGCTGTGAATCTCATCACAAAAGGTTGAGGTGATAAAGGATTCAAATTGGCAGGGTTTGGTTGGATTTGTGATTGAGCCCAGGGCATATTGGTAGGCACAGTGTGGGACCAGAAGTTATTAAAGTTGTCCATCATGTTATTTACAGTATTTATATTGGGTGAACCAGTAGAAACACCAGCTCCGAGAGGATTGAAATTGAGATTATAATTAGGACTGTATCCAAGAGAATTGATTATACTGGCTGGTGATCTATAATCACTGAAATATTAAAAACGATGAGTTAATAATGAGAATCCAATTACAAATTAGTAAAATCAAATATTCTTACCTTGATGATAAATTAATTTGTCTGTCTGAATTTGGCATAAACATCATTTCTTCCAAGTCTGATAAATCTACATTAAAAGTAAGGGAGACACAAGCAAGATTTCAAGACTGTATTGAATGGTCAATACTAGGAAATAGTGGACAGCGATTTAAGAAACGAGCAAAAAACAATAGCAATTAATTCAATAAACAATAAGATGAAATAATAAACATGAACGATTCAGCTTCAACAGGAAAACTCAAATGAGAGTGGTGTCCTCTATAGATATTTCTAGAAACTTCTCACTCTTGGTCATGTGACCCAGTTTCACATTGTTTACAATTTTGAAACATGCTTTTATAGTAAATATTGTTAGATTGTAATGTTCATTGAAATGGTTTAAAAAGTTATTTTTCATTTTTTTGTCGATTTCGATTCACTCAATATTGGCTTTATGAGGCCAATCACCAGCATTTTACACGCAATTAGTTTAGTTAAACTGTGCCCAAAGTTTTACAGTGCAATGGCAAAACAAACAGTAAAAGAGGATATCTTAAATATGCCGGAGCTTAAATTACTCTCTGATCTATTTAGTCAGCGTGGTTATCTCTTAAGATTAGCTGGTGGTGCAGTTCGGGATATCTTATTGAATATACAGCCAAATGATTACGATTTAGCTTCAGATGCTACTCCAGACAAAATGATTGAGATATTATCTAATAAAGAAAATATTAGATTGATAACTACTCCATCAGGAGAAAGACATGGGACTGTTGCTGCTTTGATTAATGGATCTAAAATGTTTGAAATTACTACTTTAAGAATTGACAAGATAACCGATGGAAGACATGCTGAAGTCGAGTTTATTCAAGATTGGAAGCTTGATGCGTTGCGACGTGATTTTACTATAAATTCAATTTTTATGGAATTAGATGGATCGATTATCGATTATTTTAATGGTCAGAAAGACTTATCTGACGGAGTTATTCGATTTGTTGGTAATCCAGTGGAAAGAATTAAGGAAGACTATCTCAGAATTATGAGATATTTTCGGTTTTATTCTAGGTTTGGTCACCAGGATCATGAAAAAGAAACAGTTAAAGCTTTGGCGGATAATATTGATGGACTGTCATCGATAAGTGGTGAACGAATATGGTCTGAAATGAAGAAAACGCTCGTTCAACGTAATTGTGATAAAGTTATTCCCTTGTTATTTGATATTAACGTTGCATCTTACATGGGATTTTATACCGAAACAAAACCTATGGATTTGGAAGAATTTTTTAAAGTACATAAAAATGTCTGGTCAATGTCAACCTCTTTTGAGCCGATAACTCTGTTTTCCAGTTTAATCAGGTCACCAGAGGAACAAATTAGTTTAATTTCTCGTTTAAAGATGTCTAATTTTGAAAAAGAAACTAGTTTTCATATTATCACCAACAGAAATGACGAATACAATCTCAGTTTACACAATTTGAAAAAACAGCTGGTACTAACTTCAAAATCAAACCAAAAAGTATACCATCGTTATACCCTTGAATTACTTAAGTATAAAGGATTGCAAGATATTTATAATGATTTAGCTGATTGGAATATTCCAACATTTCCATTGCGAGGCGATAAAATCGGACCGAAAATGAAGAGGCGCCAATTGATAAGTCAAGTTATGTCAGAACTTAAAAGTATTTGGGCTGACAATCAATTCGAGATGACGGAGCAGGAGTTAATCAATGAGATGGATAGATTGATTGAAAAATACAATTCTATCAACTAGAAGTTGATAGCTGGCAGTTTTACATAGACTCGCTTTCACCCTCAAAATGTTTAATCCTTTCATGTTTTTCAGATCAAATTTGACTCATAGTTCAAAAAGATTATTAAATTATTTTGTTCAGAGGTTATTTTGTCATTATTTTGCGGTAAAAAGATGCATTGAATTATGGTGGGAATAACAACATCAACACGATAACTCAACATGGTAATTCAATACTGTTCATGTTTATCAATTATTAACTTTTACATTTCATTTATGAATACCATTTCCTATCCTATGCATAAGTCAGATCAAGTTTTATTGAACTCAAGCTTTTGACCATGATTAACATTTTCAAACCAATAATTCGATTACCTTGAAATATTATTATTTACCGATTATCTTACTAGAAACCAATTTGAAAACCTTTTATTATTAAGAGATTATCAAAATAATAACCTGAAACAACTCAACATGCATTAGCTTACATTGAAAGCTTTCCTATTATCTTTGTTTTGCAAAAAGGTAAGAGGTTAGGTTGGGTTAGGCTTTCCTACATTATCCTGTATTATGCAAAGAGGTAAGATACATTCGTAAAGTTCATTCGCTGCAATATTTATTTCTGGGTTATGAATCCAGAATCTTACATATGCGAATATTAATATAAATAAATTGCTTGACTTTTACTGTCATTTTTTATGGCACAGAGATCAGATTTCCTCAGGTTGAGGTAAACAATTTAATTTTTAATACATTGTGTGTGTTTAAATGGAGGTTTGATGAAGCTTTCAGTTCTGTCTAGTGATCAAACGATGATCCCACCTTTGAACGCTTCTGTAAGTTAGATCATCGTAAATTATTTAAATAAATTGAGTAATTCAAGCAAATTGAACTTGTTCTTTAAACAGTTGGAATCACTTTTCTCTTACTCTTAACTATCAATTGGCACTTTCTGCAGATCATGATAATTTGCGATTGATTTTATTTTGAATTCTTTATCTTTCTGAAATCAAGCAGACTAGATGCAAATTAGGTGAAACTGTATTTTTTCATTTTACTTGTAAATTGTGAACAATTAGATCGCGTGTTATATCAAAAACAAGCTTTTGTTTTATTTCTACCTACATTTGGTTTCTGTAATAATATGAATGCAAAACGGCACTTGAGTCACGGATGTTGATAACCTGTGTTTGTTCAGAAAAGAATTTCATCACTTACCTTAAGGTAACCTTTGAGAATTTGTTAATTTATTTCGTTGATTCTAGATTAATCACGAAAATTCGTGTTCAATTTTTTCTAATGCTTTTATTTATCGAAAGATGTCACTAACAAGTTTTGTGTTTAATCTTGCTGGAGAGTGATAGCTTTAAGCCTAACAAGAAATCTTATTGTTGTTGTTCTCAAGATTAGATTTGATTTGTAATTGTTTCTCTTTAATATCTTTCAATTTTATTTATCGCAACTGACCTTTATTTAACTTTACGTGAAAATGGCTTTAATGGGATTTGGTGATTTCAACGATATGTTTGGGTAAGTGGCGAACCATTGAATTAACTATTGATTATGGCTTGAGATGTGCTTCCCTGTTTCAAGCTTTGATTCAAAATTGAGCTTTTTCTTTGTTGACTTGACTTGACTCGAAAAAGATAGCACCTTTGGACTGATCTCTGTTTAATTTATCAATGTTTTCTCATTGATGTTTCTCTCTTTCTGACCTTGGACGGCCTTGCTTCATATTACATTCATCAGACATGTTGATAGAATGATGAACAATATTATGAGGAATATGTTTAATCCAATGCCTGATCCATTTGGTATGATGGATACAATGATGCCTGGCCTAACAAATATTGCTACTTTTCCTAATATGACTCAAGGTGGCTCATATTTCTCTTCATCTGTGATGCATATAAGCAATGATGGCTCAGGTAGACCTCAGGTTTATCAAGCTACTCAATCAGCTAGGTATGGTCCAGATGGTGTTAAGGAAACTCAAGAAACAGTCAGAGATTCTGCTTCTGGTAAGTCATTTTTTACTCTATTTTTGTCTTAAATCTTCATCTCTTCAAGGGATACTTCTCAGAGCTTCTAAGTATCTAGTTAGCATATAAACATAATCATCTATATTTATAATTTAAGGATAAATTTTATGTTTCACAGCTACAGATCTTACTGATTTTTCCAGAAAATCGATATGGTAATTAGAAACTTGAAGCCTCACAATCTCCATAGTAACGCGTTTCAACAATTTCAAATTGCAGACAAAATTTGTTTTGCTATTTAATGTAAATTTCTCAATTTTTAATTGATAAATCAACAATTTATTACTTCAACTCCAGCTCGAAGGCTAAATCTAAGACTGTCTCCTTGTTTATACAACTTTACTGCTGTATTTGACCCACAAATCAGTTTATCTTTTCGACTATCTTATGGCACATTTTCTATCACGTATTAAATCTCTTGTTCTTTTTAAATTAACTCTTTCTTGTTTCTTTCTTTCCTCTTAGGCTTACAAAAAATGGCTATTGGTCATCACATTAATGATCGAGGACATGTTATGGAGAAGAGTAAGAACTGGTACACGGGAGAGGAAGAAGAGAAAGACGAATTCATTAATCTTGATGAAGAAGAAGGTCAAGCATTTGAAGATGAATGGAAAACTCGAATGGGATCTGCATATGCACAACGTCGAGGTTATCATGCTGATCGAGCTTTAACTTCAAGTCAGGGTTCAGCTCCTCTTGCTATTACTGCTGGACCATCTACATCAGGAGAATCCAGTAGCTCACATTATTATCCTCAACAGCAACATCAAAGCCGACACTTGCATGGTGTTCAGCTTCCTCATCAACACCACCACCACCACCAGCGGACCAATAATCATCACCAATATCGAGGTGAAATGAATGCAACAAATTCCAGATGTGATCCTGACATTGAGATAATTAGTGCTCCAAGTCGAGTTCAACATCACCATCAATCTGCTGCTGGTTCATCTCCTCAAACTTCCAATCGACACAGAGTCTCTGCTAAACAACGAAGTAAAAAAGATAAAAAACCATACAAAAGGTCAAGTAACAAAAACAACAATGAGCAACAGCACTAGTTTCATTGAAAAAAAGAAAATATTAAATCTCAAGATTGTAAACAGAACCTGAATTGATCGGGATGGCTCTTTTAGTTTGGGTATTCGTAAAAAAGTGTTTCCAATCAAAGCGCTTCGTCTTATTGACGTAAAAAAGTGAAATTTGAGGCTTATCGTTCTCAATTTGACATACACACCGGTTGTTCAAACTTGGTAACATCATTCTACTTTATCAATTGTCTTTTCCTCTTTCTCTTATCTTGATTTTCTTCGGTATTTAAAAAATAAAATCTTATGTCTCAACAAATATCTTCACTTCATTTTTTGTCAATGGTACTGATGTAGTTTGGTAGTCAAACAAAATTTTACATAAAATAAAATCGAAAAATATTTCTAACACAAAGTAAAATAATTAAAAGCATTTAAAGCATTCAATTGAATGCGCGTTAACAGCGTGCAACTGGAAGACCACGAATCTAGTAGAATCAAGAGCATAAAAAACAAATCAATGACATAAATAGTCAATGAACAATTTATTACTCAAGAAATGTATATTGTCAAATAAAAGAGAAAATTTTTTAGAGATGTTATCGTTTTAAATGTTTGCTTTAATTTTCAGAATAATTTTCATTCGTTTCTCTCAAAGAATCAAATTTTCTAAAAAAAGATGACCATTCAAATAAACTCCTGTCTAATAAATTGAGAATGATGATAGTGAGGAGGTTGATGATAATTTTTGTTGAGGCTAAAAATCACAGGGTTTGAAATAAAAATCTTAAAAAAAGTCATTGGCCAATCATTAAAGGTTGTTTGCGATTGCATCCTTGGCCAGTGTCATAAAATCTTTTTCTCCAGATTCTTTCCAATATTTTGCAATTAATTCCAAATTTGGACAGTCTGATGGACATTGTAAGTTACCAGAACTCATTACATTTACCAATATGTTAGCAAATTTATCATCAGCAGATCTTGTTGAGGTTGTGGTTTGACTTAAATAACGGGCCAAAGTAGGATAATCACGAGCAACCTGGACACCTGCTTGACAGGCAATCGTTTCTTTACACAGATCATTATTGATCCAAGAATTCTAACAAGGTTCAAATAGGT